CAAATATTTGCGGATGAGACAAATATATTTGGGTGCATCGGTACGAGAAATTTGTGCAAATATTCGCAGGGGCGCACATATTTGTCGCTGGTAAAAGCCGCGTGACAGATATTTGTTAGTGGCCAAATATCTGCCAACTGAATATTTGAAGAATATTGGGATGTGTGGACGTGTGCCGCGTCCCATGCCTCAGGACGCAGGGGGGGAAATACTCAAATATCTCGCAAATATTTGGTGGTGTACATAGCGCTATGTAGCGCTGAGACTAAATATTTGGCAAATATTTGGGAGGGGGGGTACCCTCCTCCCCTCGCTCATACATACATCCCAAATATTTGGGGTTCACCTCGAATATCTGGGAGGGGCATCCCTCCAACCGTCTCAAATATTTGGAAGGGCCACTATAACATTTGGGCCAAATAATTCGCGTTTTACTATAACTATAAGGATCAAAAAATTTATCTAGTGTGTACTGGTGAGACACGAGTCAGGTATATGCAATCACTTCACTGCCAACGTTTATGCTCTCGTAAATGTACAGTGAAATGTACTATATTGTTCCATATATCGGTGCTCTCTCCATCTTTCCTTCGAGATCCCGAGAGATGCATTGCTTCAAGAGCCGTCGATGAAACGGTCTTGATATCTAACGGCGCCCAGTCGCGGCATCGAATGGATCATCCTACTGACCCTTCAAGCGGAGCGCCTGATCCGTCCGATAGACTTGGGAACAACTTCCGCAACGCAGCGGCCCTTCTTTCAGTGTCTGCCAAGCGAAGCGTCGCGCATAGGTCCAAGGCTTGATAGTAATGCGGCGCAGTGCGTTTTGCGGACCGGTGCACTCTGCAGCGCGTGCCGCCAGTCGCGCCAAGCCAGCCGAGTTCACGTTCTCAAACTCGAAATCGACGCGTTCCAGCTGGCGACAGTCCCTGGCGAGAGAGACAACTGCGTTGAGAGAAAGGTCGGCCGATTTCCCAGGCTCCTTCGTCCGTGTCGTAGCTCTCGCACGTCTGTCCGATCGTGAGACTGCAGAGGTCCGGCCAAACGGAGGCAATCTTGTCAAGGTCCCTGTCTGTTACATGGAAGGATGCAACGGTCGAGGTCGTGAACACGATCACGACCGAAATGTACTGGAGCTCTCGCAGGGTGGTGAGCCGCCGAAGGACGTCGGCGAAGATCACGCCCTCGAACGGCTCATCCTCGAATTCGAACTGGTTGAACTCGATCTCCACATTGAAGTCGAGCTTACGTAGGTGCGATATGGCGGGAATGGTGCACAACTCGTCGAGATACTCCAGAAGATCGTCCGTGAGCGGCACGGATATCTCCAGACACAAGACCGCCAGCAACTTGGATGGTATGAGGGTGAGAGGGGTGAGAGAAGCAGCATAGTTGTGCGTGTCCGCGGGGTATAGCTTGAGCTCTTCAGGAACAGAGAACGAGGAAGAACAGAGAACAAGGAATCTGGGAGAACAACGGCGTCCGACAGGCCAAAGACCCCATGCAGCTCCCGTAAGCTTGGCATGAGGCCGAGATGACAGAACAACTCATCGTCGATCTGAGAGATATGCGCCGTGTGCAGATCCCTGAATCCGACAAGAGAATGAGTGTTGGCAAGTTCTTTGTAGTACGTGCTGTAACGTAAGCGCATCATGTTTGGGCAAGTTGACCACAAGGCATCCAGAGTCTCTGCCCGGTTATCGGAGACGGAGACCCATCGTAACACTGGAGACAAGCACAACAACTCCAAGAGAGAGGTGTTTCGGTCACGAGGCCCTTGCGCCGTTCCGCTCCAAAAGAGAACCCGCAAATTCGGGAGAATGGGGCGGCCATTGTACCGGGAACGAAGAAGGTCGATTGTTTCGTCGTCGATCGTGGGGTGGGAAGGGTACGACAGCGCGCAAATTCGCCTCGCAAGCTGCGCAAACCTCGCCCACTCGGCAGGTGCTCCGTTGAGGGTCCGAAGTCTTCGATCGAGGATCAATTAGTAGTTGTGTTGAGGAACATGACAGTAGAGCGACTCACATTGCTCTTCCGTACAGACGCGACAGTGGTTAGCCCTGCCTGCAACTCCCAGAGAACACGAGAAGCGGGCTCTGAAAAGCCTTGCATGTACGTGCAACGTATGCGAGAGTTAGCAATCGGGATGGACGGACGTCATCCTTGAACAAGGGGAAGCCGAAAGGCCGTATCATGCCCTTTAGACGTGCATCTGCTACTAAGCTGAGTTGTACATAGACAGGGGTATTCATCCAATGATAGTATTCAAGAGTATCAATCAAGAGACGACGGGATGGAAGTGTCCTACGCCCGGGGGTACTTCTTTCCATCTCACAGATGCCGTCCTCCACCTGGTATAGATCGTCAGACGTACGTAACGTGGTAGGGTCATTTCTTCGTACCGAAGACAGCGTAGACTTTGGCCTGGCGGTCTATTGCGGTCTCGTGCGCAGACGGGATCGTGTGCTCGCCGTTCGCATTGGAGTGGTGCAAGCCAAGGTAGACGTTTGGGCACGAGATTCGCTTCGTGCGCTCGATGTCCGCGTGTATGATCGCGTTGCAGAAAAAGTCCAAGTCCAGGTCATTCTGCAGAGGTCGCTGTGAGCAGGTCTATTCCCGTCATCCCCATCATCCACGCGTACCTCGTCATAGCCTGGCGGAAGTAGACTTTAGCTCGGCAAGCATATGAAAGACAACAAGAAGCGTACCGAAAGGCTGCTCGATCTCCTCGCCAGCGGCAATGAGACCGAGGTAGATGAAGGCGGCAATCCCAACACCGGGTATTGTGTAATAGCCAAACTGATCAACAAGCTGGAATGGGAGGAAGAACAGGTAAATCCAAACTGTGCTGTACGCAAATCATCGACATTAGCCAGCGTGGAGTTGAGAAAAGTGACTACTTACTGTCTGTGCGCGGCAAAGCAGTCGGTGATGGTTGATTAGAACCTAGTGACGCCGTTAAACGAGAAGAAACGAACCGGATATGGACTGAGTAGACGCTGTACGATCTCGTGAGTACTCTACCGTGAACGATGTTACAAGAGAAACTGACAAAGGAAGCGGAGTGGTCAGGATACGCTCCAGTGCTGCGCACCACGGCTCAGCTTCTGTTTCAATGGATCGTAATTATAGACGATGACTCACTAGCCAAGCTATCCTCGAAGGCAGCCAAGCATCCGTACATGCCACCTAACGCACCACCTGGCTCAACCCGATTAGGGATTCCAAGACACACAGGGCAGTAGAGGCATACCAGGAACAATACCACGCTCGTCCAGAACGCTCAGCCATATGCTCAGCGCTCTCAAGATCTCGAGCGGCAAGTTTTCCCCACCGCCTGCGATCCGGGGCCGATGCTTTGTGTGCGTGATACCAAGGCGGTCAGTCGTGTCGACGAGTGCGGCACGAAGGTGAGCAGTATGTGGATGGACGCGTTCCAGTTCACTCCTTGAGTCATCTTCATCTAGCAGTCAACAATCAGCGGGCGCCAGGATGCCAGTGGTTCGGCTGCGGACTTACTCATCGCCTCGCCGTTCAGCGTCTCGTCCGCCCAACGCCTCTGCACCCCTCCCCGATCGTCGTCCTGCCCCGCACGCCGCTCAATATCCACCTCCGCCGTCGTCAAAGCCCTCCCCTTTAACCCGACTACCCTCCCAATCCCGCGCCAAAAGCCCGCGAACGGGATCAGGTCCCCCGACACGCTCCCAAACAGCCCGCGCCGTGCCACGATCTGGGGCACGGATCCAGGCAGGAGCGGCCGTCGCTCGCCTTCGGAAGACATGGATGACAATGACGACGTCGAGTACATGCCCCGGAGCGGGGGCGGGAGAGTTGCGCCGTACGAGTTGATCGGGGGGATGACCGGGTCCCCTCGTGGGTTCGGGCGGGAGCCCGTAGGCGCGGCCGCGGGGGAGTTTGTGTCGGACGTGGGCGCGCGGGTGTGCGGGGTCGGGGATAGCGCGGGGATGGAGAAGAGCGGGGCCTCAGGCTGGAAGTCGCGGATAGGGGATGCCACCGTGTCGATATTCACCGTCGGTTGCTCTGGTGCAAGCGCGTCATCGCGGCGATGGTGATGGACGTGCTAGAATAACGTCAGCTGTCGAGCAGTCACCAGGTACCATGCGGCGTACATCGTGAAGTGGCTTGACTAAAGGATAGAGATCTTCGTAGTATATCCCCATCTCGCCTGTAAGGATGAGCATCCAAATGGAGCCGCCTACAAAAGTGGCTATTCACCTCGCAAGTGGTGCTTCACTGCGACCACGAACCTAGAATCTAGTCAACATCGATTTCAAGACACGACGGCGGGAACCAACCCTTCCACCAGATCAAGCGCAACACGCTTCTCCGCCATCACATGTCTCGCGACAGAGACGTCAACATCATCTGGTTTGCCATTTGTACCAGTTGCGGCGGGTGCGATCTTTAGCGGGATGTGTATCCATATGAGGCGAGTGAGAGTCCGGGTAGTGCGAGCAATGTCAGACCAAGATGACCGTCCCTGCCAGTAACGATCGTATCCGGAGCTGGCACGGTAGGAGATGACGAACCCGATCACAACACCTAGCCCGAAGTTAGTTCAACATTTGCAAGCGCGCCGTGGGATGACTGGATGCGTACCAAGCAGTGTGAGCATAACATTTGGAATGCCGAGGTGGACCCGTGTTTCCATTGACAAAGTGACGACCGCTAGTTTACAACGACAATGTCAAGGACAGAAAGGTGAGCGGGAAGCTGGCTAACAGTCCATCAGGAGCCTACCGGCAGCAAAGACGGTGTGCAGAAGGACCGCCGGCCATATGCGCCAAATCTACATTGCAAATGACGTTGTCAGCACAGGCTGGGGAAACGCCGCTTTGTTTTGTTGTCTCGAAGGACAGCACATACCACCGTGCCGCGGCCAAATGTCCAAGAGACAAGGTTTTGAGTGGTTACGACGGGGACCAGGATGTGATTCTGGTGGTCATCGAACGCCGGCAAGAGGACGTGACCCGTGGCGGAACGAGACTTGGCACCGACGGGCTCAGTCATGTTGCTCACGTCGCACAAAGAAAGGCCAGACGACGCCAGGTGTGGGTGTAGTGTGTTGCCAGTGAGAGTCCCACGACTGTTAAATGATGGGTTCTTGCTATGGATACTGGACACAAATGTGCCTATGACGAGTAAAAGGTCAGTAAACGAATGGAAGGAAGGCTGATGGAGAACAGCATGAACATGGAAGGAGAGAAAGAGCGCCGCATCACTGAGATCTCAATGCGTCGCCCAATTGATCTGATCTAATCTCCCGGACCGATGCACCTCCCTCTTACGTTGGCGATGACCGTACGATATTATCCCATAACGCAGGCGCATCTTAAGGGAGCTAGTAAATTCAGTCTTACTTCACCTTGATACACGGTCGTTGTGTATGCTCAAGGGAGTGCGCAATGCTCGTCGATAATAGACAAACAAAGGTAAATAACTTATGCGGGCCGCCCCTTTGAGCGTCTAATACGCAGGCGCATCGCTCTCCAGCTTCAAGTCATATCACTGGCGCTCGCCTTGTTCGTCGCTCGATCCATGCATCCAGCACAGCTCACATCCACACATCGAGAATCATAGGTCACTCGTTCCTTAGACGAATGGGAATACTGTACGCTCCCACTGTAATCACCGCTAGCAGCATCGCTATCAATATACGAATCAAATAGCAGATCCATCCATGGTACTTCATGAATTCAGCTTCAAACAGTCTACAATTCCCAAATCGGATAAGGCAAGGCTCCCTATCTGACCTCCTTATGGGACGCTATGGCCTGAAATTCTCGGTTACTTCCTTCACAGGGAGTCATGCATGACCACAAGACTCACCCTCAATTGGTTTCATTGCTCAGCCCGATGTCGACGACGATCGTTCCCAGGAGACCGCCGGAAAGGGTGGCGCCTGAGGATTGGATGTGGCACTTGCTAATTTCGCCGCTGACAGTCCACTGATTCTCTTTCGAGTCCAACGGGCCCTCCCAGTAGAATGAGCGGATTATCTCGTCCTTGGCGGACGTGTCGACAAGGTCGAAGCGACCTGCTGTGCCCAAGGACGCATCCGCCCTGTCGCATGCACTCAATTCCATATGTCCAGATGGGTCGACAACCTCGTTGTCGTAGTGGTCTACATCCATCTCCTTGTCTTTGTTCCCTGTGCACCCCACCGCCGATACAAGCTTAAGTCAGTCATCTCGTCCATCGTGCACTCACCAAATAGTAGACTGACCGTTAGCGTAGAGCATTCCCCACAATACTTCTAGGCTTCTCAGCTTGATGGGGATGGTGCTTTTGTTGCTGATGCGGATCGCGACCCATTGAGCATAGGCCCGCACCACCGGGGTGTCGACGGCGACTGCGGGAGTTATCTTGCTAGTGCACGGGCAAATGCTCAGCGTCGGACTGATGGTGATAGTGATAGTGGTGGTGTTCGTAGTGGTAGCCATGGCGGAGATTTGGCCTGAGGTTGGTAGGTGCAGATTGCATCTCGAGTTTAAATTCTCCTTGACAAGCGTCTGTGTTTGCGAAAGCTACCGTCTTTGAAGTTTGAACCACTATCTCAATTCCGTATCTGTCTCACTCTCACAGCTGGTATGAGTAGATGCAACCCACGCTAACCACTGACGAGTCGATGTCGTCAGTCCCCTGTACGTGATCCGTAGATCAGTTTTCAAGTCAAGATCCTGTCAGTGCATTCGACGTCTATTCGACCCATGCCTGGCGTTTCCCTCGTCTTCGCCAGTCAAGTGAGCCCAAGCATCGCAAGTCCCAGCGTGCAACATGCCATCTCGATTGCAGTGAAGCTGTCAGTCTGTCGCGTCTCTGGCCCCATGGCAGCCAACGACGACAGAGAGACTTATGCACCCGTGCATCTCTTCACACAGAAAGTGGCAGGTACACCGATCTGACAGCTTCCCGTCCACCTCTTCCGTACTTGTACCTAATGTGGTGTCGGTAAAGGCAACCTCACACACACTACGGTCGAAGACTATCTGCTCCATGAAGCAATTACTGTTCATGATGCGGCCTGGATGGCCACCAACGAGCCCTTTCATGCATTCTGGAGGGCGTCAATACCCCTTCTATCCTAAGCATCGTTCAGAATCTCGATTGTCATCGGAAAGCATAGATGGCGACCACGCTGCATGTCATGTTATGGCGCTGTTCGGGCTGACTACGATGTCCAGCAGAAACATAACGACTTAATGGGAGACCAGCGCACGAAAGAGACGTATATGCATCACCGACTCGCTTTGTGCGTTCTTTGGTCTTAGCTCAGTAAACCGTTTCGGCGACAGTTCCTACAGGCTGACCCATGATCTGCGACCTCACCCGTTCAAATCTCCCACTGGACTGAGCCGCCGACCTGGTAAGTACCTCGATCACTCCTGGGCCTTTCTTAGCATCGTTTGCGGACCTCCTCTTCAATAGCGAATACTACCTATCGTAAATAGCAGTGCGGGCTCCGGGGCCCATAGCGACACGCTCACCGAAGTCACCGCCAACGATGCTCACGCCGACAAATTGCTAAACATGTTGCTGTGTCATGGACACATGGCACGTATTCGACGGACTGTTCATATCTACGAACACATCTCATCAAGGTCGTCCGCATGGTCATCTAGCGGGCCACAGCCTAGCCTGAGTGCGGGCAACCTCATCGTGCGCCTGTCCACTCTCGACGCAATGAGCAACCGCGATCGTCAAGTCGACCACGGTTGAGGCCGACTTCACGCAGATTCTCCCAGGGCGTAATGCAGACCGACGCGGATCTTAAATTCGCACCATGATGTACATCAGCATCTTACTCCTTCTTATCTGGAGCGACGAATGCTTCGAGTTGAAGTCGGTGATTCGAGTGAAGTTGTCTGGTGAGAACACTCCCTGAGCCTGTATTGCTGCGCCATTGTGGTCGGTTCCCGTGCTTATCCCATTCGCAGCAGAGCTGCTTTTGCCCGAGGCGGCATTCGACTTAGAGGTAGGCATCATGGCGCTGTGGTGATTGAGACACCTCCCGATGCCGAGGCAGAGCCGAATACGTAATATAATAAGGCTGTCGTGCCACTATGCCAGAGAGATCCGTACGCACCCTTGTCCTCTTGCCCATCGGTGCCGACTTAACCAGAGTGTATGGGCACCCGTAAGCTGTTGCTCATCCCTCGCGCTAGACGCATAGCGAGCCAGGGGCCTACATGATGTCTGGGTGTAAGTGTTCTGGCTGTTGCCGGAATTGCGGGGATGTAGTAGGCCGCAAAGTAGCAGAGCATTTGACGGTAGGAGCTGCATGGACTAGAACCCAGAAGGTCGACAGAGAAGAGGAGTAGGAAGAGGACGAACATCTGGCTAACCGTATCAAATCGCGGCTCTGCGATAGTCAGCAAGTACCTTATAGTCAGCAAGTACCTTGCTGACTTGGATCGAAGGTTTCTGGTGCCAAGAAAAAAAGCGATAGAAGATACCAGCATCTATATCCCAAAGACAGCACGAACGACATCCCGTGATAAACACCATTCCATCCCACTGGTGAGAGCCGACTCATGATTTCGTGTCAACGAGAATCTCTGCGCCGCCAGGGAGCTTGACCGGGACAGGAGCAACAGCACCTGGCGTAATGGGCTCCTTGGAGTGCGACGGCTCTCCAAGCATGTGTCGTACCGCCGTGGAGTTAAGCAGCTTCGCATACCGTGGTTGAATGAAGAGGGCACTACGGAGCGAACGCTCCATCAGTGGAACTCGGGGTAGAAGCAATTTAGGGCGCACTTCGCTTCCACAAGGACGTTACCTGCCATATCCTCCACGACACCCGACACCCGAGACTTCCTCCCCTGTGCTTCATCCAAACGGACCTTGATAACGATGAACTGGTCGGCACGTGTGGGTGCCTTGTAGTTGATGTTCAAATTCGCCGTCACGCCGACCTTCTCGGGTAGATTTAGGAGAGCCTGGAGAACGCAGTCAGATGACGAATCAGGGCGATTGACCGAGTATAGTGTGATGCATTGAGTAGACTCACCACCCGAGCCAATGTCTCATCCAGGAGCGTCGCAAGCAATCCTCCATGGATCACGCCCTCATGCCCACACAGCGCACGCCCAACATGGATGAAAACCCAGTTCTCCTTCGCATCGTGTCGCGCCCGGACTAGTGGCGGGATTGCGAGCTTCCCAGGACCCTTCAGCGTGCCGGCGGTTAAGCTGTTCACGCGTCGCTCCTCGGGCAAGTTGAGGTACGGTCGAGTCTCGTACCATTCGGCCTTGTCAGGACGCGCGCGATGTGCTGCGAGTACGGGAAGATGGTTGAGTTTTTCCTCGAGCTCGGCAATGTGGGCAAGTGCGGCCGGGTCTTCGGGATGCAGGGGTGCAGGAGCAGGTCGTGGCGACAGCAGGTGGACAAATTCAGGAGGATAGAGGGCTCCAAGATAGTAGGATGTGGCAGCGAGTGTCGTAGCACCAGTCAATAATCGGAAATTTCTCCAGAACGCAGATGAGGCGCTAGATGACGTGGAAGTGGATGACCAGCGAGCTGATGCTGCTCGTGATGCGCGACCTATCTGGCGTCGAAGGTGGGCGGAGTACATGTTGGAGGTTTAGAAACGAAGTATTCAAGCATGGTGGATTGACAGAGGACTTCCTCCGGTAACATTCGGCCCGACAATGTTTGTCTTTGTTATGATCAGAGGCTATTGGCTTCGACGTCGAGACATCGCATGCAGTCCAACATCGCTCCCGGCCGCGTGCAAACGTGGATTCTAAGCAATCAACAGAGCCTATATTACACAGTCCCCAAAAAGCCCGAACTCGTCCAACTATCGTCGGCACGTAACTAACATCGTCCACACATGAATAATCTGATGACTTACAGTACTCGCAATGGTACTAAAACCTCGCCAGTATAAGGGGACCGCATGTAAACAGAGAAGCACCTACTAGTAGCATCGGATAGGCACAGAGCCCAACATTGTTTGTATCGCCCGCAGATCTACGCATAGGGTTGTTTGACCGCTCTATGAGCTTGATGTCATATCGGATACTTGCAACATCATATCATAGCAGGTAAATAAACATATGTTGGGCTCTGCAGCTGTCAGAAGTGATTGCCAAATGTGTATACTTACAGACCTCCAAACCCTGATTCCAGGAAACAGATGGTTCGGCGGTATCGTTGAGCGCGAGTCGAATGGTCATATATGTTGACAAATGGCGTCTGCTTACCATAGCCAAATCATAGCCGTATTACTGTACGAGAGCTGCGAGAAGTCATCGACAACAGGAAACTTGTAGGGGCGCCAACAACAACTCTTACTATGGGTCATAGAATGGGCAGGGTATCTATGATGATACAGAGGGACGGGTATAGCTAGTAAGTGGCAAAATCCCACAGTCGCCGCAGCAAGCTGCTCGATGTTGTGAGATGCTTCTCTCGTTGAGTTCTTACCATAGAAAGATACGAGGAGGGCTGGATGAACGCCACCTCCACAAGGCCCTTCTAAAAGATTCGGACTACGGCAAGTATCGCACATAGATCAATGCGCTCAATCCGAGCACACTCATCGATGCGAGGATCGCATTGTAATTCTCAGCAGGGCACAGTGGCACTACATAGTCCTGGAATTTTCGACGCCCCATGTCCCCAAGATCAAAGATGTGCGATAGAGAAACGTTGGACGAATGTTGCGCAACGGACTGGGGGGATTTGACATGTGAGGACCGGGGACGCTGACGTGGTACTGTCTAGTCATGGACGATCAAAATGCCATATATGGAGCAAGGGAACGTCCGAGCCGCCCGGCTGAACATATCACGCAACTAAACTATCCTTATAGAGCACCTACGCTCGCACGACTACTGGTCTGGAAGGTAAGGACATTACTCAGCAGCCAGGTTCTCGCGCCTACCGCCGCATGTACGATGACCCCAGCGGTATCAGTCAAGGATTTCTACCAGACCAGGGCCCTCGTCAAGATCTCTCACAGATAACGCCTTCAGCCTTCAAGATGATGAGCGGTATTTCATCGATTCCGTCCATATATAACAGGACCTCCCGGTCGTTGTTATCCCTCACCCAACGCCGCCTTGTGTCACCTGTCAACGCTTCCTCCCTCTCGCCCTCTCGCCTAGCCTTCTCACACTCCCAGTACCGCACCAACATGTCTGGCTCTGCTGCATTCTTTGAGGCTGTCCGGAACCGTCGTTCCGTGTACACGATTACCTCCGAGACGACTATCCCTGATGAGAAGATCCAGGAGATCATCACCGAGGCGGTCAAGCACGCCCCGAGCTCCTTCAACAGCCAGAGTAGCCGCGTATGTACCAAGAACGTCGGTCCATTCCGAGCGCTCAACTCTAACCCCGCTTCCGTTCTAGGCGGTCCTTCTCCTTGGCGCTGAGCACAAGAAGCTCTGGGAGATCACTCTGAACGTACTCAAGGGCATTGTCCCCGCCGAGCAGCTCCCTGCTACCGAGGGCAGGATCCAGGGCTTTGCTAACGGCCACGGTACCGTCCTCTTCTTCGAGGACGAGACAGCGGTTACGGAGCTTCAGACCAAGTTCCCTCTGTACCAGGACCGCTTCCCCCAGTGGTCGCAGCACGCCTCTGTATGTTTCCCTCTCGCTGTACTTCCTCGTAACACTGAAGGCTGACACGCACCATGTGCAGGGCATCCTCCAGTACATCGTCTGGACTGCGCTTGAGGCTGAGGGTCTCGGCGCGTCGCTCCAGCACTACAACCCCCTTATCACCCCCCAGGTCCTGTCGACTTGGGACCTTCCCTCGTCGTGGACGCTCGTTGCGCAGCTCGTCTTCGGTAAGCCGTCCGCGCCCGCCGGCGAGAAGACGTTCCAGCCCATCGAGGGCGTCCGCTTCAAGACCTTTGGCAAGCAGTGAGCGCGAGGGCATGATGTTTGTGGCAGATTACCATGGATTGTATAGTTAGAAGAATCACATCGCATAGATTGCATCTGAGACAACTGGTGCCGCCATGTCCTGTGCTTTCCGCTGAGAAGCTTAAAGATTACCTACTGAACGCGTGAGCCAGAGGTATCGAGATCTATGGACCGTCGGGCCCAACGGTGTGGTACTATCGACCCAACTTGCGACGTCGTGTCTGTGGCTGGTCAAAGCACCGTATCCAAGAAGACATAGCACAGGTCATACGTAGCTATCGTCAAGGGGAATTAGCAAGTCAAGTTCGAGATGTTGAATGAGCCTAATACTTCAGTACAGTAGAGACAGCGCGACGCCTCATCGCTCCACAATATTGTCGTGGGTAGTATCCTATACCTATATCAGTCACCTGAAACCGGAGGCCACGCATACTAGGCCTAAAAAGCTTGTTTACCTGGTACCCTCTAGACCTCTTCGCCTGCGTTACGTCCTCACAGATACACTAGACCTCAATGGAGGGCTCTGCGCGGCGTTCGAGAGAGCAAGATGGACGCTATCCTCTGGGACTCTGAAGCGCGGTGGGAGCGATAGCTGAGCACCCCTAACCCTACTTATGATATGAGCACGTTTTCTTCATTCCACCGTCATGAGCGTCACCCGCGAGCATCCTTGCCTTCGTCTCTCAGTTCTTCCTGGCGTTTTCTACGTACGAAAGGTGCAAGAAGTGCCTGCAGATGTCTTACGGCGGATAGCGGAAGAACCTCAATCTCTTCTGTCCATTACACGTACCCTGGAGGAGATATCGATCGTAGGTCAATGTACTGTCGAAGAAGAGTCTGAAGGCGAATGGAAGTGCATCAAAATAGCAGGGCCCATGCCCTTTGGTGAGCTCGGAATGGGAAGGGAGACTCGTGGCGTTTTGGAGATGACTGATATGTCACCCTCCAGAACTAACGGGCATTTTGGGCGGCTTGCTGGAGCCTCTCAAGCAGGCAAATATTGGCATCTTCGCAATCTCGACCTGGTGAGTAACATATAAGGGGGTTGCGAGGCTTATCTCATGCTGACGCGCATACATCGATCTGAATAGGAACACGGATTATTGCCTCGTCCCAAAAGGCAGGATCGAGGATGCGGTTGTTACTCTTACACAAGACGGTTGGTTCTTTTGATGACTAGGTAACAGCGAATGACATGATTCCATATGAACCTGAATGTCGAGCCTAGTCCAGATGTCACAGAAGGCCGAAGGACGATCAACCCGATCTTGTTGCGAGCGATATGAAGGATTAGATGAACTTGAAGACCACTCACTAGTTTGATACACATCGCTGGGCCTCCCATTCTAGCGAGTGACATAGTTGATCAGTGAGATGTCATCGCCTCTGCCAGTGACGCAAAAGATGATAGCGTCACTGACGATCAGCGAGAACGACACGTACGTCAGCTAGAACCCTTCCATTACTCTGCATGAGTCGACTTCGGCCAGGGTGCACCCTGGCTTCAGAAAGGGAAGAGCAACGAACATATAGACAGGTCAAAGCCTGGACAGGTTGGCCAGGCAAGGATGGTGTAGAGGTGGTAGCTGCGGGTGTTTGAGATCGGGGCTGATCATCGCGGTCTTGCCTATCTGAGGAGAGAAGTCCCATGCCACCCGTGTCCCCCGTTACGTTATCGTTGGCGGCCACACAGCACAGCTAGGCTGCAGTACAAAAATCGAAAGACAGTTCATGGTGTTTGCAGAAGATACCGAGGGGCGTCGGTCCTCAAGTTGTGGGACGCAGGAGGGCTGAAGCCTTCAGTCAGGTTATGGGGGGACTCCCACCTACATGGACGCTGTACATAAGGCATCGAGTAGACTAGCAGCATAGATTGAGAAAGAACGCGTACCCCTAAAGCAATCCTGAGAACGCCATGGACGAACCTAGACTATACTGCGGCAGGGGTGGGAGCGCCATCCCGACCGAAGTGTCTACACAAACTCAAAATTACCGGTCCACCGAAGCCCTCCGACTTCGTGCTGGAAGCGACCTGGATGTCCTATATTGTGAGATCATGGATGAGTCGGTCAATGTTGTGCCTGTAGATCTCTGCCATCCTCTCACTTGAAGGAGATGGCGAGGTCTTCACACCTGCGAACCACGACGATGGCGAACACGAGCAGCCAGGGCTAGACATGACATTCAGCAAAAATCGGAAGACACCATGTACCCGAACCTTACCATTCCTCCCCCGCGCATAACCTCCGGGGACAGTTGCAAGGCAGGGCATGGGCATCTCGAGTATCGCCCCTGCCAATGAATCACAAGTTCGCAGCAACGCAATGTCGAGCACACGCACACGCCCATAGTAGGCCGTACACCAAACGCGCACCTAGTGCGCATCGTGCCTGTGTGTTGCATACTGTATGCGTATGTCTGTCTGTACGTATGTACACCACGCCCCGTTCCTTCCGCCTCGTCCCGCGCGAGGCTGCCTTTCCCCCAGAAACTAATTCCTACTGTATACATAGCATTGGATACGACGAGAGGCAGGGAAGAACGGCAGCAAGGTAGCAAAAACGCAGAACAACGACGAAAAGGGTACGTGAAGTGTGAAGGGCGGGACGAGGAACGAGAGGGCGACGGCACTTCGGCCAGGGTCATGATCATGTAAAATAAGATAGGGGTTCACGTGCGGGAACGGTGGGGGGACGAGGACGGAGACACTAAACAAGGGAGATGAGATGAGGAGGATAGGGTGCATGAGGTGACAGGCAGGATGAGGTGAGATGGAGCGGGATGCGCGGAGTGCGCGTGTGCGTGTCGATGGGAGGGCGAGGAAGGTAATGGGAGTTATAGGAATAGGAGGATGGAGGACGCACAGCCCGTGAAAGCAGTGTCTTGGAGACGGACTGAGATCGCTAGAGCGGGAGAACGTAGTAGTAGGAACGAGGTCGGGCAAGGTAGATCTTGGGGGTCGGATGGAAGGATGGGATAGCGCATGGGCAAGAAGATACAGGAGGGGAGTTGCCGGCTTCTGCACCTGCAGCGCAAGCGTCACGTTCGAGTGAACCGATGGACCCCGCTGCCACATGTCCGAGTAAGCCAACTGGTCGAAGTCTCCAATGGACAGTGACGCCAATTGGCTTGTCGACGAAAGCGGACGGGCGTCGGTCTGTACGTCGTAGTCGGAGCGTCAGGGACGTGCGTCCAACCGGATGTCCGCTCGGACGTCGGGCATAGAGGGGGGGGGGGGGGACGGATCCGGCCGCGCGAGAGCGTACACGTCAAGTCGGACGTGCCTCCCATCGCACGGACTCGACGACATCGGTCGTCGTCGGACGTGTTATACGATCGGATCACCCGTCTAAGAACGCGAGACTATGACGACCGTGACAGCGTGTGAAAACCCTGGTCGGTGCAGGCTTTAACCGCAGGCGACATGAAGAAGGTATGGTGGGAAGGCAAGGCAAAGCGTGCAATAGAGACAGGCGATGTCGATGACCGAGGCGGGTGGAGGGTGTTCAGCGAGAACAGACAAGTGGCAAGCGCGACGACGAGACAGATAGTCGATCATGGATGGGATGAGACGTGAGATGCAGCATGCGTACAAACCAGTATGAGAGATGGGCGATGAGCGATGAGTGATAGGACGGGAGGCGCGGAGGGACTTTGAAGGGAACGAATGTGTGGATGCAAACATGCGATGCGAGCGGATCCAACTGCATGGGCAAGTGGCATGGGTAAGTTCGGGAAGGAGGCAGATGGGTAACCGACCAGTCAGCACGGCCATACGAAGCAAGGAGTCACAGACAAACTCACCAGACAGAAACAGACTCTACACTAAGCACAATTCAATCCAACCCTCCAGGACTGCGGAGCAAAGACGAGAAAGGAGAAGACAAAGAGCAAGCAGGTGTCACAGAATGCCGGAATCCTTGAGTGCGTTCTGCAGTATTGTCTCCTTCACTGCCGCGAATACCAATCGGATATTCGAGGTATCTGTCGCCTGGGTTAAACTGCGCACACGAGGTCAGCGCCATTCCTCACTCATAGCCACGCATGAGATGGACACTCACTGTGGGTACACGCTCAGCCTTGCCCTGTTCGCCTGCATGAACCGCCACAAGATGTACTTCGCCGCCTTGTTAATGTCGGGCCCGCCCGTGTATTCGGGGAAGTACCGCTCGAGGGGCACCTTCGGGAGCTTACTCTTGAACACGTCGATCTTGTTCAAAAACAGGATAATTGACGTTCGGAGGAACCACCGCGAGTTGATCACCGACTCGAACAGGATGAGCGACTCTTGCATTCGTTTCTGCAGGCCACATCGACATATGCATTTTGGTAGGTGACCGTCAGATGCCGGATATCGAACGCCGAGTTTGACAAAGGCACGCACCTGATTCCGATCCTCCAACAGCACCTGATCGTACTCGCTCAGCGCCGTGCAGAAGATGATGCTCGTCACGCTCTCGAAGCAGTGTATCCACTTCTTCCGTTCTGACCGCTGCCCGCCTACGTCGAACATGTGTATTCTGCCCATCGTCACCCACGTTAGCAACGGATCGTCCAGCACAGCGCCTCGCAGGTGGCGGGCTTCCGAAAGAGACGGATTCGCGTGTCAAGGGTACTCACGATAATGGCCCTAATGAAAACCTCGTCTCCGTGATGCCTCTACTTGTCGCTCGTGCCCGCAGCACGTCCGTCTCCGTAGGAATGTAGTTGGGCGTTCCTATTCGAAGCGCCTCGGTGAAGAAACTAAGGCAGAGAACCAAACGAGTCAGCCCCGTCCTGTCATGTAGCAGCGCCTCCGCCATGCCCCGCACACCGCCGAGATGACCCCAGCGCGCAGTCGTGAGTAGGCGCCCAGCAGTTGATGCTCGTCCAGGCGTCGGGAGGCGTGGCGCTGGGGTTGCAGCGAGAGTAGGGTACTCACTAGCTCGCACTGTCCATCAGGTAGAACTCGCTACTATGGTCCATAATCTTGGGAATGATGGGGTCCTTCCAGAGGTCGAAGATGGCCTTGGCCATGTCCTCCGCAAAGTAGAACGTCGGGGCGGGGTTGACGGAATAGTCGAGGATCTTCTCAAGGCGTGCGCGGTTCGCTGGATCTTCACAGTCCATGCCGAGCTTGCGCATGGCGGTGATGATGTGGTGCGCCGAGTCGAGCAGGTTCTTGTATATCGTCTGGCGGTAGGCATTGCGCTCGTCGGGCGTGTAGCCGTTCTGGTGGATGATCTTCATCTGCTTGACGATCGTGCTCTTGCCCGACTCGCCCGAGCCGAGGAGGAGGATCTTGCACTCCTTCTTGAGCTTGCGCGAGTCCTCCTCGATCTGCTTATCTATCTCCTGGGAGCGCAGCTGTGCCTCGCGGTCCTGGGTGGACACGCAGTTACCCATTGCTGCTGGGGGTCGTGCTCGCGTTCGGAGCGGGTGCCGGAGCGGGGGAGGTCACCAGGCGGGAGGAACTGAGAAGGGGAGAGCAAGAAGCTTTGTGGTCTTTGTAGTCCTTGGAATCTTTGTCGCGGGAAGCAGGATGCAGCAAAGATGTGCTGGGGCTAGTGGTCAGAGTCGTCGTCGCCCAGAGTGCAGAAGAGAAGGAAGAGGGAAGGGGTGGAGAGCGAGAGCGTCGTGGACGTCGTCGAGGGCGGTTGAGCGGGAGGGGAGAGAAGGCTGGCGTCGGTTCGCCCAATATTCCGTTTCCCTTGTCCGTCATCATGTCACTCTCTGTCACACCCCGGCCAGGCCCCGGCGCCCTCCCGTGCATTTTACCTCTTTTGGCAATATTAGCGCCTGCGCATAGCGCGGTGACCCATCGCATTCGTCTCTTGTCTCGAACAACGCCATTGATATTTCGTTCGTCACAACATTGCAACGGAGAGCGAGAAAGCAACTTCTTCATCATCATTACGACTCGCATATGGTCGACGCAGAAGCTATAGCGCGCTGGGTGCTGCCCTTGCGATCTACCCTTCGCAATGTGCCTCACGATTACTCAAATAACTTGTCACCCCACGACAGCCTTCAGGCTATCTTCAACGTTTCTAGCACAGGGTGTTCGAAGGTGGCAGCGCCTCTATGAATGTTGCGCTAGCAGGTGGGTCGACACTCATCTACAAGAATACATTGTACTAACGTTCATCTCCGGGTCCACTCAGCGAGATATAGTACGCCGTGGCGTGCTGCAGCAAACCCAGCGCGTCCCGTGCCCTTTCCCGAAGGCTGCTCGGAGAGCACATCTTCCCGCCTCATGGTCGGCCTGTGAAAACTGCAGCGTCATCCGACGCCAAGTACTTGGGACGTCTCGTCTACAACGCCTGCCCCGCCCTATTCGCCATAACAGACACAAAATATCGTCTTGGGCATTCAGTATCTCTACCGTCAGGTCTGTCATGTTGATGCTCCCTTCCCTCAGCTGACTAATGCGTAGTATAGTATCGAGCGGGCGGCCTGCTGGTAGCCCGAACGGACCACAAGCGTGACAGGTGACGTCGAAGGCGTGAGCAGATCCATCAGGGTGACGCCCAGACCGCAGGGCGAGGGAAGCATGCCCGCGCGCGCGGCGCAAGCAGATTAAACCATCTGTCAGGGACAGCACACGTCCGTCTCCAGCACTTCCACACGGGCCTGTGCTGCCTAGCCGTTAGCGTACGACGCATACATGCCGTTCTTCAGGTACTAGGGACTGCTTCGTCCGTGGCCTGCCTGCTGACGTTGAGTATAGAATGTTAGCCTGGCGCACCCATTCCCCCGCATGCTCATGAATTACGTTCAGATAACGTCCGCATTCGCGAACCTTCGCCTCCTGCTCCGTATACGATACTCCAATTTCCTACCCCAGCATCGGGCAGCCCTCTCCGCCGAGGCAGCAGCCAGCAGCGATCTCATTTAAGACGGCCACCGAATCGCAATTTATCCTTTACAGATAGATCTCCCCAGATCCCTTTCCACCATCTGCTCACTGACGCAGAGCGTCTCCGCTCTGTCGGGCTCGACATCTGATGTGCCGGCCGCGGCATTGCCCAGCACTTTAGCTTGATTTAGGCTTGCCGCAGGCACGCCCTGGGGAACGGGAACCCTCGGGAACATCGGGCCTTTCGAATGGCGACGGCCTTCCCTGAGGTGAGGAGGCGAATGCTCTGTGGACCTCGCGGCTTCCAAGCGAGCTTGGGCATGTGGGATGGGATGGGCTGACCGGGATATAGCGGTGAATGTGAACAGCTACGTGAACAGGTACCAGATGGATTTTCTCCGGATACACATACGAAATGATAACACAGGAATACGCGTTCAACACCTGTCAGGACGACATCAAAACTCGCGCGGCGAGCAACGGAACACAACCGCCATATTGAACGATAGCCAGCGATATCCAAAGCACGTACTGTACTGTAATCCTCCAAATGAATTCCACCGTACTTGCCAGCTTGTACCAGATGCCCCTTTGCGAGATATCGGTGTGGCTTTTTTCGATCGTCGATCAGCGAGATGCCCACATGGACAACGATGGCCGACTTCAGCTTCATTCCTTGCCACCCTGATTGCAAGGTGAATGCATACGAACACTCCAGACTGGAGAGTGCGGAAATGGGCCGCCCAGCAGGCCATGTCCCACATGTCTAGGAAGGTTGACCAAGGAGACGCAGATGAGCCACTGTGGTTCTGCCATGATAACTGGAGTGCTTTATGCAGCGCTGGAGGCTATGCATGCTTACTCGGTACTCGTCTTCGAGGCTGCGGCATTCAAGGACGTCACACGCAGATCGTACGCTCCTCTTCTGGTTGCCGGCATGAATGCGTTCCTCTTCGGGTATGACGCGACGGGTGCAATGATTATCATGCTATTAATGAGGTTGATGAGATGACAGCTAAGGGTGCTTGACTGTGTCAACGCACCTCAAACGCTGACGGGCTATGTACACCGCTGTACACCGTCGGTGGCATCGTTTGACATCAGGAATGGTGGCGAGTGGGCCCTCTGTCAGCCACCAACATGTCTTCAGGAATCACGTTTGTGGCATCAGTCGAATTGCACGATTGCCGGGTTGATATGTAGTACTGTACTTGCGTCCAAGATTGCTATCATTGAGATCCCTTTCAGGCTTGATCAAGATGCGAGGAACAGCGCAAAACAATCAGTAGTTGCAGCTCCGATAAGGGATACCTTAGAGATACATAGATGGTGGCTGGTCTAGTGAATGTCCAACGCCATCAAACGTAGCAATTAACTGCTGCGATACGTATGCTGCGCTGAGCCTCATCCAGATAGCTCACCTGAGGCACTGTCCGTGTGTGCCTTTGTCGACGACCCGTTGACGCCGCCGGCTGAAGACCTAGACTAGCCAATGCACCCTTCGCCTCCCTGTCAGCCGCACAGGCGCCGCGGGACAAGACGTGCGGCCCCCACCTCTCCGCGTTTGCTGCCGTCCTCGTCACGACAGTATGCTCAACCCAGCGAGGGCTTCGTCGACTTCCCCGCTACTGGCTGCATTCTCTCCATAACGTGCGATGACATCCCTCGCCTCCGGCCCTCCGCCATCCTCGTCAGTCGTCCCTTCTTCCAGGTCATCGATGTCTCCGTCCGATAGTGGCGGAAGCCCGCGCCACCGCTGCACTTTCACGCGCAACAGCTTTTCGATCGCGTCGATCGTGTCGCAGCGCCCGAGAGCAGCGCGGAACTTGTTGAACCACGATCTTCGGCTGCTGCCATCGTGCATGAAACGGGTCAGTACACTGTACTGAAGAGCAAGCGAGTGTTAAGCCGACCCACCAATGATAATCTACGAAATGCCTGACATGCGTCTGGATGGTCTGCATAGTCGCCGTGCCGGGGTGTTCTCGACAAACCTCGAGGTACTCGAGCGAGATCTTCACAGGGTCCGGCGTGACGTTCGCAAAAAGGCTACATACAAATTCAAGCCCTGTCAATATCATACTCATCGACAGACTCACCATGGGTTGGCCAAAAGCGTCTCCCCAACCATAACCCCGTCCGCGCCCGTCATCTTCCTATTCGCCTGCACATCCTCCCACGTCCTGACGTTCCCATTGCTCACCACCGGTACGCCCACCGTCTCTTTCAGTACGCGCACCTGCTCGAGGTCCGCTGCTCCCTGACGTCGCCGGCGCGCGGAGACGTGGCGAGCGTGCAGAGTGATCCAGGACGAGCGTGCAGCTTCGAGCCGCACACCGAGGTCAGAGGTGAGGGCGGTATTCTGGCAGAGCCGGATCTTGGTCGACACGGGGACGGGGAGGGAGTGGGACAGAGCGGACACTGCAAATGGGAGGTGAATGCATGCCCGGAAGATGCGTCGAGAGTCCGGGCTTTTGGCTACTCTGCTGAGCGAAGTCCTATGTGTGCTGACCCACATGCCAGATGTACGTATATACGGTACTCCACTGACTTTAAGTGTATGTGCATATATGCACCTGGACCTACCTATGGAGCATATATGCGTCCGTAGGTGGGTGGCTTAGGCAGAACAATCCACTGGAAGGATAGTGTTCACGGTGGGCGATGTGAGTGAGGTAAGTCTCGGGTTGGCGCGTAGCATGGTGCGTAGGATCCTGAACAATTGAGAGACCAGTGCGATGGAGACAGACATACCTATGCTTTCAACAAGCGGCCAGTCCTTCTTCTCAAGGAGGTATCCCCCATAGTGACCCTCACGTGCAGCGTCCTGTGGACATCCAAGATTTAGGTCTACACGTCTTTGAACTCGAGATCAGTACCTCCGCGCTTCAATGAGACGAGTATGCGCACCTATGGCATCGGCCTTGTCGACCACGGTTCGTGCAGCACGTACGACAACTTCTGGATCGTTTCCACAGAGCTGGACAACCACAGGCGCGTCAGGTGTATCGTGAAGGCCTCTCCTGTGAAACTCAAGGTATTCTGTATCGTTGAGAAGACGCTCCGGAAGGAGCATCTGTGTGTAGACGAGTGAGGCATCGTATTGGCGAACTAGTATCCGGAAAGGCAGATCACTCTGATTGACCATGGGAGCAGCGATACAAGATAGGTCCAGTGATGACATGTTTCTTGGACAGTCCTTGGAATCATGCACGGAGATGGGTTGGCGGTGCAGGACGGCTCAAGGTTGTGCTCAAGAAAAACCGCTAAGATCTTGGGCCTTCGGAGATTGCCGACCCGCGCTTGTCCTTGGCGCTTCGATTCCCCGTAACACAACATACGATGTCGACATTGACCTCCATCTTGACAAGGGCGTTCACCATCTCCGATCACTCCTCGCTATAATGTGTGATCACATCGTCTCTTCAATTTCTGGCTACATACATATCTCCACAACCGACATGGCAAGAACTGCTCGGGGAAAGACCGGCGAGAAGCACGCCGCTGTAAGGCCGCGTGGTGGTGGATATCAGGTGGATCCCTCCAGCTCAGAGCGTCCACGGGGGTGCAGCGCAACGGTCAGATGATAGTACTTCCCTATGAATGTCTTTCTGCGGTGCTGCGCGCATACACAGAAGCTTACGCGATGCTGTCGTTGGAAAGTGGTGGAAGTAGCTTGCGGTGCGCGCGTGCTGCAGCACGGCAGGCAACGCCCGTGTAAGGATAGTCTAGGCGGGGTCGAGGCGGGTTGCGAGGCAGGTGATCGGTGTATTTGGGCATCTGGCCTTCGCTCGAACGTTGCAAGACTGCATTAAAGCACAATTTTACTTCGCCAGATCTGAATTGACTCAATTTACCGCGCCTTATATAACCAGGAACGCCGAGCCCTTGGCGCATCGTCTCCCCGCCGTCGTAGGCCACGGCGGTCGGCTTGCTTCACCCTCGTTCTGACCCTTTTCCTCCGCCCTCAACGACAAGCCCCCAACTGTAATATTGCTCTCTATATTCACGACTTCACGACTAGCGAACAAATCAACCATGTCCCTCCCCACGCTCTCCCAACAGCCTCGCTGGCTTCTTCTCTCCATCTTCCTCGTGCTCTGGTCTTGGTCAACGTCCCTCCGCCGCGACGGCGGTCGTACAAAAGCTCTCGGTCTCGGCGTCGACGCGCGGGCCTTTACGTGGGAGGTGAAAAGGCAGCTCGTCGTCGGCCTGCCACTTTGCGCCCAGGCGTGCGCGGTACAGTCGCAAGTAGCAATCGGCTGTGGGGATTCGCTGTGAGTACCACCTCTGGAATCTGACTTCCCGACTCGAAGGAGAAGGATTGTCGGCCTGGCGTGTACCATGCGTTAAAGTTGGGCCACAATCTGTTCCTCGCGGGCGGGCGCTATGATACTCAAAGCGCCCCTCCCGTCTACACATGCATAGCAAAGCCGATGTGCGCACCTGGTTGCATGCGCAAGGCCTGAGTAGCGCGTGTATGCTCTTTCGTCTGCATCAGGTCAGCGGTAGGTACATCCGCGCATCGAAACGATGGATTATGGCGATGAGGAATTAGGGAGTCGCATATGGACTCGACGCGCCTCAATATTGAACAAGTTAGATCATCAAGGCAAAGTTTGACTTACTCCAATCATGCCTATAGAAACTTCCCTTGCGCATGTCATTCGGAACAATTCATGCCGGGGGCGGTCAACTGTATGACCACGAATTGCACCCAAACTGACAAAGAGGCCGGCGAGGCTACGCTCAACACCGCTTGCAAAGCCGTCGGTATGTTTATACACCCCCATGACTGATACTCGCCGGTTGGGCCAAAGCCATACTAACATGCATTCTCCTACAGGCACGTCCGTCTCCCTACCAACAAGTTTCTCCACTGGCACGTCATCTATTACTTCTGGTATGCTCGCTCCCTTTCCTGATTCCTGGCCTCCTCTGATTCCGTGCATTACCTCAAGGCGTTCCCCCAATATCTGGTAGCCCAACCACTACAATCACCGAATCTACGACAGGCTCCTCGACGTCTGAAACGGATTCGCCCTCATCCGCGCCCGCCTCCTCCACAGCCTCTCAGCCAAGCGTCACGGTGACGCAGACGACGACCGCTCCGCCATCATCGACTACAGGTATATCCCCATGGTCATCTTCGCGCGTGGCTCTCATGCTAATCCGTACGACCAATTCCAGTGTCGTCCACCTCGATCTCGTCGGAGACCAGCTCACATACTGAATCGACCATCATCGCGACAAGCACGGCGGGCAATTCTTCAGCTGGCGGGAGCGGGAACGGGAGTGTTATCGTGACGGGTGGGGTGTCGATATCCGGGATCATGCTAGCTGTACTGTTGGCTACCGTAGGCGCGGTGGTTTCGTTGTGAGGGCATCGGTGGCGGATGTATAACAAATGTACTGTACTATCTTGCGAAGAGCACTTGTGTGTATCTATATATCTCATTGTACGTTAATATTTCCCCGAAGAGAGTGCAAACAAGTGGTGTTCTATCTCTTCCTAGCGGATCATGCCAATGTCTTGCTAAGAACAGTTCTAGGACAGACCGCATTACGACATGGTACGGCCATATGGGTACATCCTACTCGCGTTTGCGCAGCCTCCTGCATTGCCCGAGTATTAAGTCCTGGCGGACGCTGATAGGCCGGACGTTCTGAGAGCCGTATGACAGGGACGAAGCGCTGAACGAAGCCGCGAGTTTACGTTGACTAGTCACCTTCGATGCGCTCTTCCCCCGCACTCACCGCCTTGACGTGAATGTCAAACCATGCGAATACTTTGCCTCTTCTGCAAACTGGTCACCTGTATGTTGGCAATAGTTGGGGTGCGGACGTCTTGCAGAAAGCTGAAGAACGTAAGGTCTGAGGTTGGTACCTTGCCGCGTGCGGTCTGAACCTGGGGTAGCCCATTAGTCGCCATGAATGGCCCCTCGAAGCCAGCTTTCGGTAGTTGCAGGAACATCATAAAGCACGTACTATATCTTTAGTACTGTCCCGCTTGCCTGGGAAGGACGCCCGACAGACAAAAGCGCCCATTAATGCTGTCAAGCCAGAAGCTTCGACATATGAAAGCTTATATCGTGTGGCACGGGCAGCCAAGAAGCCGAGTAGCACTGTACTCGGTTCCTACCTATGGAATGAGTGTAAGCTCCATTCGCTCGCAGCTAGACTTTTCGATGGTCCTCACCTACCTAAGGCGAGCGAAGCCGGAGGGCGACGAGCACAATTGCACAGCGAAAACCGCATCATAACGACAATCAAGACAGTGATATCATATACAAAGCGCACTCCGATAATCTCGGGGTACGGGGTAACGCGTGCGGGTGGTATCAAGAACGATAGCGGGTGAACATAGACATTGCAGAACTGGCAAGGTAGAAAGTGTTAACGACACTGGTCCAATTAGCTCCGAGTCCGACACACCAAAACATCGCACAGAAAACAGACAGCGGGTAACACCAAGCTATGTCCTTTTCGTGGCTCAGCTGTTACTCAGGCAATGAGCAGACCTAGAAGCGCGCCTCCCAAGCCCACCACGCCCGCGACCATTAGCTCCTGGATGGGCAGGCTCAAACGAACCGTCCCATTACCACTGCCAGAAGCCGAAGCCGAAGCCGAAGACGTCGGGGGGACAGTCGCGCTCCCACTCCCGCTCAACGAGGAGCTGTTGGACGACCCGACCGCAGACGAGGATGAGAACGGGTTCGAAAAGCTCGTGGCGCTGCCGGAAGGCGGGGGTGTAGGGAAGGAGAGGAATGTGCTCGTCGACGCCTGGGCGCAGAACTGCTCGGCGATGCTCTCCGCGGGAGAGAGATCGCTCGAGGAGCAGGAAGAGGAGATGCAGTCAACGAGCCCGGAGGTGAAGCGCGTCGAGCTGCGGCCGGCGGGGGAGGTGTGGTGCGGGTTGTCAGATTCGGGTGTCGAATGATAAGTTGTGCATGAAGGACGCGCAGGCAAGTGGCCAAGCGGGACGATCGTGCGAGGATGCGAACAAGTGGAAAACGGTCGGACGCACGGCGCAGTACGAATGAAGGGTGGTTATGATATGTTCTCCGTTAACGCCGGACTCGTGTTGGGTCGACAGTAGCCACTCACTTTGCACAATAACAGTTCACCTGGATGACACTCGTACAGTTGTCCTGCCCAATCGCAAGGTCAAAGCACTGGCTTGCTGCGCAACATCATAAAGTCAGCCTCCAGCGCTAGCATGGGTAACGCAGCTTCTTAGCATCACTGACCACAATCAGACAGCCCGCTCAAGCTGGGGAACTGCGCTGACGAGGTCGCTGTCGAGCTGATGTTCCCGCTTGCGGACGATGGTCCGCTACCTGACGCGCTGACCTTCGCAGAGGAGGTGGGGGTCAAGGAGAGACTGAGCGAGCCAGAGGTGTCGGACGCGGAGACAGGCGGAGGCGTGAGGGATGCCGCGGCCGAGACGTAGGACGCAAAGGTGAGCAGGAGCAGGTGCACAGGCAAAGAAGCAAGCATTGCAAAGGTCTGCAGGGTCCGCTGGAGTTTGAAGATTGAAACGACCTCGTCGTCCTGGAGAGCAAAGAAGGAGTGGAGCAACGACGGCCAAGCGAGGGCTACTTCAAGTACAAGTGGGGTGGCGTCGATGCATCTCAAGCGCCGGTGAGACGTGGTACACACGTGCGATTGTCTAGCAAGGCAATTTCAAGTACCAGGGGAGAACAGTCAACTTCAGGCTGAGACTTCACATCAAGAATGAGCATGAGAGAGGTGACGAAGCACACGAATCGACAAGGTACAGGCTCAAGCTAACTATGCACAACTAAACAGAGGAACGCGAAGCGCAGATACGCACATACAGCACTAGTCACTATGACACGCAAAACTATCCTAGGTCCACCCCGCAACAACCCCACCTTTGAGCTCAATACTCGACAGCATCGTCGTCGTACCCTGGCCCAGGCGTTGGCGTCACGTCCGACTTCTTCTCATCCTTCTTCTCGTCCTTCCCCGCAGCAACATCCTCCTCTTTCCGCTCCTTCTCCTCGCTCTCTTTCTCTTTTTCCGCCCCGTCATCCACGGCCATGCTTGCATCCCCGTTCCCATTCTCGTGGAGCGCTTCTCGACCGGGCTTGTTCTCCTGCTCCTGTTCCTCACCCTCGTCAACCATCTTCGCGTCACCCTCGCCATCCTTCTCCGTGGGATCGCGACGGTCGGTCTTCCGGCGCGACTCCTCCTCGGCGACGCGCTCCCGGAGGCGGTTGATTTCCTCAACGCCTGCCGCCCGCTCAGCCTTGAACTGTTCCCACTCCTTCTCGGCTGCCTCTTGTACCTAGAATGCAACGTGGTGTCAATTTGGTTCGTGATATGTGAACAGACGCTTGATGCGTACCTCCGCCTTGCGCCGCTGCAGGAAGGCTGTTTGTGAAGGAAGCAGCTTCGCTGGGAGATAGTACAGTGGCGGCGGGCGCGCCTTTGGCGGGCCAACGAGTGGGTTTGTCGATGCTGGTGAATCAGAGTCGACAGGAGGTATCACGTCCGACGTCAACAGGAAGTTCGCCAATAGCGGCAGTCGTGTCCTGCGGAGCTTGTGCTACAACCAACGTATCTGTTAGTTCACGTGGATAGGACAGATGGAGAGACGTACGATCGAGTCTTTCAGCTGTAGTTCCTCCTCCTTGCGATTCGCGGTCGTCTTGTCCTTTTTGGCCTCTTCAGCACGCCTGACAGAGTCAGTCTCTTTCCGGAGCTTATCCAATGTCTTCTTTTCTATCTGTTGCCTCCTCCTGGCCTACCCGTTTCGACCGTCCCATGCAACCAACCCGATCCGACCAAATAACAACCATTCCCGATGCACAACACCACGGCGTACGCACACCCAGACCAGCACATACACATCAACCGCGCCACGGACAGAGTAACAGTCAGAACAACTGTCGACAGCGGGGTAAAAAACTAGACAAGACGCACCGCCTCGCTCGCGTTGCGCTCCTTCGCCTCGTCCTTCGCCTTCGCCAGGGTGCCTAAGAGGAGCCCGAATGCCGTCTTGCCCCGCTTCCGTTCGCGTGGCTCAACCGCCATGTCAAGTCGTGGCCGCTTCTTCGCCGTCTTTGCATCTACCTCTGCGGATGCTGGTGCGGGGGCCTCGGCGGACATGGGCGTGTCTTGCGCTGGCTCGGGCGTTCCTTGCACTGGGCTGTGAGGAATCAGAGGTGCAGTAGGGCAATGTGTGAATAGGAATGCAACTAAGAAAGGGCATCGACTGCAAGACGCACTCTTCTGTAGCCATTGCGAGTTAGATCCGGGGTGTGGGAGGAAGAGGGTGAGGTACAAGAGGAGCGAACGGTGACGAAGTCGGTTCTTACCAGTAAGTTAACGGGTAATCAATTTGAGCATAGCCCGAGCCAGCGCGCGAGTAAGGGAGGTTATCAAAGGTTGTTATGATCCAATGATAACCCCATATTGACGCATTAGTCTATAGGCGCCCACTCACTCCTTCCTCCCACCACCAGCCCTCCCTCAACGCTCGCGTAGTTCCCAGTGCATTACAGTTCCGAAGACCTTGGACTAGGTGTGCGACAACTTAAAACACAAATTTCCGGCGGCAATGGATCCCTTCGAAGTCCGCATGCAGTTCCTTGCGTTGCTTCGGCGGTTAGACGCGTACGCCTTTCCTGCACTTGCACTTTCGAACGTCCTGAACGACCTCCAGCTCCCAACAGTCCATCAAAAAGATAGTGGGATTTGCACTGAAGTACTTCTCATCTTGTGGAGAGGATTTATGGGATTGCATCGTCGAAGAATGCCAAAAGGTGCGCTTCCTGTCTAACTGCATTGCTTCGTGTTCCATATGTCTGACGCGGTGAACGTACGCTGTGTGCATCAGGGCTCGCTCAACAGCCGTATCAACATCCTGTACCTGCTTGACTCGCTATGTGAGACGTGTCTGCTAGCGAAACCACATACAGGCGCTGCGCGCGACACGGGCCAGAGCTCCTCGTCCTATGTCGACTACCTCTCGCGCGACCTCAGCAAGCTCGTGGACTACGTCGTACCTCCCGGACAGCAGGGCATGCCGAACTTCATGAGTACTGTACAAGTACGTCTTGCCCCTATTTACTCCCTCGTAGAGGTTGCATCCTCACTGCTCCCTCCCCGCAGGTTCTCGAAAGCTGGCGTACCAAGCGCGTGATCGAGCCACAAAAGCTTGATGAAGTCCTTGCCATTTTGGACACCCGCCGGGCGACCGCGTCCCTCCCCTCTGAGCGCGACTCCTCCGCCGCACCCCCTCTCGACCCGTTCGAGATCAAGAAGCGTATGGAGGAGGACCGCGAGCGGCACAAGCGCCTGCGGGAGCGGCGCTGGGTCCAGCCCATCTCGCACAACCTCTATGGGCTGCACCCGCTCGCGAGCTTCCTGCCGCTAACCGACGACGGGGATGGGCCGGGGGAGCTGACGCTGGATATTGAGTTTGACAACGAGTGGGAGACGACGAGCGACTGGAACGAGGACGACGACGAGGCGATCGCTGAGGAGAACGCGATGTGTTACCCAAGTAGTGGGGAGGGGGACGAGATGGACTTGTCATGACTATCACGGTGCGAGGACCCTGCAGCATAACCTGCTTCTGTACTCTATGGTGCCAGATGCGATTGAATGGAGCATGAAGCGTTCGCTTGACTTGGAGATATGGGGTCCGACAGCATACAGGTAGTTTGGACAGCATATAGGAAGCAAACCACCGGCATTAGACCACACGACTGGCCTACGCTACGTGCGTCACGCAGCCTCCCTTCCACGGGTGTTCCTCGTCTGATCACCTTCCGTCGTAACAGGATTTCATCGGTGCGCTATCGGACGTAGCGGCTATTATGGTCACATGGCGCCTGCTTCCGAGCGTGCCATAACCGCTTGCATGGCGCCTCAACGGAGAATATGTCCCTGGCTTTGCCCCATTCGTCATTCTGTCTGCGTCTTTGGCTTGCAGCCCTGTACTTGTGATCATATTGGGGTGTGCGGCTTGACGGATCCAAGCAACAATTTTCTGTTCACCTTGCGGTTCATCGTTCAGCTGTGACTCTCCAGACGCACGTCATGTTTTAGAGTCTTAGGGTTACCTTCTTGGCTTAATTACGGAGCGTATGCATGGGCCGCATGGCAGTCGAAGCCAAATTGAAGGCACGCGCTCGGCGCTGAAAGGCGATGATAAAACGTCGCCCCTCGTAGCGGTATGTCGTGTAGGGCCGCTATCTAATCCTTGCCATCCCAGCCTCCTCGACGACCGGTATGTTCGGCACTAGCTCGCTCGTCACCTTGGTTTTGCTCTTGTCGAGCGCGACAGCGCTGCCCTCTTCGCGAGCCAAAGGTCCTACGTTGGGTCCTCCGAGACCTTCCATCCCCCACCTCGAGAACTTTTCAAAGGACATCCCCGTCCTCAGTCGCAACGGCACGCAGCTGCCTGCCTATAGTCACGCTTACTATTTCGACCAGCTCATCGACCACATGGACCTCACCCTCGGCACGTTCAAGCAGCGATACTATCACACTTACGAATTCTACCAGCCAGGTGCGTTAGGACCGCTCATTCCCTCAGGATATCAGGAGTTCTGCTTGCTCACGTTGTGCGGTGCTATGCAGGTGGACCTATCATCCTTATGACTCCGGGAGAAGAAGACGCGTTTGGTAAGCCCGCGGTTACCCCGGACACCACACCCCTCTTCCTCCATCCTCCACCGTCGATGCGGTGCCAAGTACTCGGACTTGGAACTCCGTGCTGACGATGTCGTGTGGTGCTCGTCAGGATATATCGGGTATCTGACCAACACGACGATCAACGGCCATCTTGCACAGGAGCTCAACGGGTCCACGATCGTACTCGAGCATCGGTTCTTCGGCGATTCGAATCCGTATGACAACCTGTCCGTACAGAGCTTTCGCGTTCACACGGTCCAGCAGGCGATCGACGACCTGGTGTACTTTGCCCAGAATGTACAGCTCCCGATGCTGGGGGGCGACCAGGTCGCGCCAGGAAACGCACCCTGGGTCCTCATTGGAGGTAGCTACGCGGGTGCCTTGACGAGTTACACATTGACGAGGTAGGCGCTTGTTCTTTATATCCCAAGTCCCGCTGAGCAGGATTCTGATTTGTATCTCAAGCCGACCGGGAGTGTTCACCGCGGGTTACGCCTCGTCAGCGGTCGTCCAAGCTATTGTGTATGTCTCCTGGTATATACATTTCGTTCATTCTCATCGATGTGTCTCACCAGAGTGACTTCTGGGGTTATTTCGAGCCGATCCGCCAGTACATGCCTGCAAATTGCTCTGCAGACGTCGAAGCCGTGATCGCTCATGTCGACTCCGTCATTCAGTCGAACGACACTGCGGCGATCACCGCGCTTAAGATGACATTCGGCTTGCAGGGTTTGGCTCACAATGACGATTTCGCGGCCGCTCGTATGTACACGTCGACTACAGTCACAAGATGGTTCCCATGCTAACGATTTCTCTAATGCAACAAAACCTTTTCTCTTGGCAATCCCTGCAGCCTGACAGTGGTCTTAATCAGGCATTCTACCAATTTTGTGACGCCCTTGAGGTTATAAACAGCTTCAGCGCGCCGGCTTCGGGATGGGGTCTTGACTATGCACTCCAAGCCTGGGGCGCGTACTGGACGTCAACATACTACAAGCAGAGTGCGTGAATTTGTGTTTCTTTCAAAAATTCTGTTTCCTGACGTCTGATTCTCAGTTTGTGGTGATGACGACGATGAGTGAGTCGTGATTGCTCTCCTTTGTAGTCGGTGTTGAAACATTATACGATACCACGCCTTAGAACATGTCTAGGTACCTATGACTCCTCAAGCCCATTCTGGACCTACACCTATACAGGCAACGCCGAGCGATCATGGCAGTGGCTTCTGTGTGTCTGATCGCCAGAACCTTGACAGTGTCCCTCATCTGACCGTTAATCAGCTGCACACAATTTGGGTTCCAGTTTGATGGCGCGCCAGCTTCGCAACCCACGATCGCCTCTCGCATAGTAACACCTGCGTGGGGAGAGGTACGCTTGCTTCAGGATCGCTCTGCCTGATGTCGGGCTAATTCAGCCCTACAGCGGCAATGCGGATACCGGTTCCCTGGCGCGTTTGGATATAACGCGACCGCCTCTCCGGATGCCGCTGGCCTGAACAGCGCATATAAGGGCTGGGACACAACGGCTGAGCATCTCATCTTCGCCAGTGGTACCCGTGAGACCTTCAGTGGCTTCATTCCCGCAATCCAAGTTGCTCACTCCATGACATGACTGCTGCTAGGCGATCCTTGGCGAGAGGCCACCGTTGCCGCGGACGGGGCCACAAACATCGGCTCCGACCTACAGCCCCACCTGCTCTCTGATGGGTTCCATTGTTCGGATCTACTCATTCAAGAGACAGCGGCAAGTCCTCAAACCAAAAGCGTACAGGACATTGCGGTCTCCTATATCACACAGTGGATCTCGGAGTGGAAGCCGAGTATCAACAAGCAAAGTGCATGACGGGCACGAGGGGTCATGCATCACCATACCTCAGTAGTGATTTTACACGATATACAGAAACAACAGCGATGATGATACATGATCAATCCTTTGATCTTAGCCCTATGCAGAAACCATGGGTATCGTCTATCCAGTCAAGTCCAAATATTTCATACGCTCCGTCGCCGCAGCAACGCCCCTAGCATGGCGCATCTTCACATACCCTTTAGACTGATTCTGTAGCGTCGCCTCCATTTGTATCGCGGTATTCACCTGTGAAGCCAAATTCCCTAGCGCCGCCGGGTTCACCTGCGCCACAGGCTTCACTCCCGCCGGCTCCTTTGCCTTCGTCCCGGGCAAGCCCGCCCTCCCATCGGCAACCTCCATCGCGTCCACCCACGCCACCTTCTCCCCCACCCTCCTCTCCCACTGCAGCGCGAGCCTGTTCAGCAGCGTCCCGCGCCCCGCCCCGCGGAGGAACGCGCGTTGGGTGACGATCACCATCCCAGTTTGGCAACGGGTGAGCATGACGTTCACGCGGTTCAGCGAGCGGAGGAACCCCGGGGAGGTCGTGCGCACGGCAGACACGATCACATATGGCGCTTCGTGGCCTGCATGAGTGCATCACGAGATCGTCGTAAGTACGCTGCTTGCGTGGCTGAGCGGCAGGGGAAGCGCACCTTGGAAGCTGTCAACGTTGTAAACGATGCCATCGGGCAGTCCCCCACGCTTGAGCGCGTCGGCAATTGCGCCACGCTGTGCGTCGTAGGGCGTGATGATGCAGATCTCCTTCCTCTTCCCTTCTTCTTCACTACAGTAGGTACGGACAATGTTGACGATGGTATGCACTTCCTCCATGTTCTATGTTGCTCAATAGTGAGGCAGTATTTTCACTCTCGAAGCAAAGAACACCCACCTTCCAGCTCAAACCGGCGCGTTCCTCCGCCCCCTTGCGCACGTCCACAAACAGGACACTGCTCGTCCTGAAGTCACGGATCTTGTGCTCGGACTTCAGCTTGGAGTCGTAGATCGTCTTGGAGATGAAGTTGCCCAGAGGAATGGGCATGCGGTCTGACCCATGCGTGAGTATGCAGAGGGGACATATAGCGTTTCAAACGCACATTGCGTGTCCAGGAAGTACGACGACTTTTGGAACTGCTTCAAGTCGAAGATGGTCTGCATAGCCGGCGCTGCTTCCTTCCCGTACGGCGGGACTGTTCAGGCCAGTATGAGGAAGCAGCCCTGCGCGCGGTGGACAAGGCGAAGGAAACCATACGCTGCTTCGGGTCGCCAAACATGCACACCTTCTTCAAGGTATTGAACTTGTGGAACAAATGCTAGGACACCAGTCCAGCCGACGGTCAGCATGAATGCAGTACAACAACTCACCATAAACTCGAACATGTCGATCTGCGACGCCTCGTCAACGACTAGCCGCTCCATGGGCACATACTCCAGGATCTTCTGTTTTACAAGCGCGTCGTGCGAGAGCATTGAGAGCGTGCAGAGGATGACCTTGCTCGTGCCGATGTGAATCCTCGGGTCGAATCCCTCTCCGAACTCGTCTGACCGGATCAGATAGAGCTCTATGTCGTCATACATATACTCGTGCCTATGAACAACACAAAACATTATTCGACATAGATGTCAGCGGAGTACACATGACATTAGATCGGCCGAAAAGCGTACCATTCGAAGTGGAACTCCATAGAGACAATGATCTTGAAATTGATCTTGTGACCCGTCTTCTGCTCACGCTTGAAGAGACTGAGCGCGATGTTCTTGACACCGACATTGGATTGCGCAATGACCCAGACAGGCTGCTCCTGGTTTTGCCAGTGCTCGAGCGCCGCGGCGATGGTCGTCGTTTTGCCAGTACCGGGCGGACCTGCTCATCAATCAGGCAGGACTCGAGACAGTAAGGGTTGCTGGGGTGCATACCGTGTGCGATGACAAGCGGCTCCCCATCCGTGATCATCGCATTTGCGACTTTGCGTTGAGACGCATTCAGCGCCTCGAAAGCGTCCGTATTCCCTCCCGTGGATACTACTCTCCCAGTCGGTCCTTGGGGTGGGTTGGAGTCGCTCGGGAACCACACCATATGCACGTACGGCGACTCGACTAGAGTGTGTGCATTCTGGAGGACGAGGAGGATATGCTCATCGCGGCTCAGCTCAGCCCGTGTGAGTTCTTCCCGCCCTACGACGCGCACTCTGTCCACCTTGCCGTTGAACTTGCCCTCGACGACCTTGAGCCCGGTCTGCCTGCCTTTCGCAGCAACAGCCTGGAGCTTGACGTCTCCCCCGTTGATCTCTATGATCGTCTGCCATAGAGGTGAGCACACTCTGCAGAGCCTGGCGACCTGGAGAAACCTCTCACCTGACGGCTCTTGCGCACACGCGTCTTGAACCGCGCATTCTGTAGGACCACTTGGCCCTCACCGTCCAACCCGACGTCTTCAAAGTCGTTTTCATATCCAGTTGGCTTGTCGGCCTCGAGGAGCTCGATGTTGAGGATGAGCTGCGAGAGACACGACAGCTGGTGCTGCGGTAGGTGGCGCGTGTCGATCTTAGCCGCCTTCTGTATTGCAGTGATGCATTTTTCGGCAATGCTAATAAATTCATGGTGAGAGTCAGTGACTAGTCGGATCCTCGGTGCGTACCAAGCCGAGAGCCAGGCGCGAAGGCAGATGTCCTGGTCCGAGTCCCGGAGCCACAGGGCGTGGATTGCACGCTGGTTTGTGCGGTTGCTCAGGTGCCTGTCCGCGAGCTCGGCCGCCGAGACCTGCTTGCGCGTGAACTTGGAGTGCAGTGTAGATAGGTCGATGCCGTATACGTGTGAGGCGGTCTGACGATGGAGCAGGAGAGCGAGGCGGGGCATCTGGAAGCCGGCGAGTAGACAGTGCTCGTTGTTGAGAATCTGCGCTAGGCCGGCATCGTGTGAAGAGTTTTTCGACTTCTCAGCGTAGCATTCGGCGGTCAAATTGATCAGAAAGGCGGTGTCGGGAGTGCCGATAGCGATGGCCTCCATCACTCCTTTCTTTGAGAGCCGGAGAGATACTCCAAGGACCTTAGTGCCGGTGCCGGTGTTCAAGACGTCCAGAAGTTTTCCGCATGTCTGTGGCCGAAGCGATACCACAGATATGTTGTCGGGAGAGCCGGGAACGAGATTATGAGTACTGAGGGACATGGTGGTCGATGGGAAAGAGTGGCACGACAGGAACCGAATATGTTGTGGCGCAGCGTATAAGGTTCAGACTTGACGTTTTGTGGTTGGGCGACATCAGTGACACAAGTATAACCAGCAGCCTTACATGATTCCTGGATGAAGGGATATACGCACGATGTAAGCATATTGTATGTAATCTGAATGGCACTCAACTTCCCTTAATCCTTATCATTCGATATCCTATACGACGTAAAAGCAGTTCTTTTCTTGTGAGTTGCGATCACACTCGCAGCAACAAAGAGGTGCGAGGCGATCCAAGACGAGAAACAACACCGGAGCCGACGGCGTTAATTGCCTTTTGTGAATACAACCAGCTTCTTGGGCGCCCACTAAATCGGACCGGTGTAAGCGCACAGCCCGGGAACATAAAATCTGTACATTCAACAACGCAAGATACCAACCGCTGGATGTCTCCTGATCTTTCACGGCGAACAGGGCCGCAGCATAAGTACAACGTTCACTTTTGCTACTAGAGCCGAAGGCGCATTCCATCGATCTCAGCCTTGGACTGCGCATACGGCGCCAGGCAAGATGGCCTTGCCTTCTGCCACCCTCATCGCATCTACCCAAGCCGCATCTGCCCCTGCGATGGTTCCCCAGTGACTCGCGAGCTTCCCCAGCAGTGTCTGATCGGCGACACCGCTGAGGAAAGCTCGCTGAGTGACGAGTACCATGCCCGTCTTGCAGCGCGTGAGCATCACGTTCATCCTGTTCAGCGACCTCAAGAACCCAGGGGCGGTGGTGCGCACAACGGAGACAATAACATGCGATGCCTCGTGCCCTATTCCGTAGCACAGGAGGTCTAAGAGAGGGAAGAAAAGCGGTTGAGGATTAGACTTACCTTGATAGCTGTCGACATTGTAGACGTTCTCGTGCGGTAGTTTCTGCGCTTTGAGGGCCGCAACGATCGCAGCGCGCTGTCCGTCATAGGGAGTGATGATGCAGAAATCTGGGTGCCTGTAGTACTTCTTGACAAGGTTGACAATAGTATGTATCTCTTCCATGTTCTTCGACATGCGAGGTTGGTAAGAATCACGACGCCGTTCGGGAACACAACAGAAGCACACCTTCCAGCTGGATCCGGCGGACTCCTCCTTGCCCTTGCGAACGTCGATCAATTTGACGCAGTCATTCGCGGTGATCTTGTGCTCGGACTTGAGCTTCGAGCCATAGACGTGTTTAGATATGAAGTCTCCAAGAGGGACGGGCATGCGATCTATCCTGACGGTTGAGTATAGGCAGTACGTGGTAGGTGGATAGAGCTTACATTGCGTGTCGAGGAAGTAAGCTGACGTGTGGAATTGCTGGAAGTCGAAGATTGTCTTCATCTTCGGCGCCGTCTCTTTTCCGAAAGGAGGCACTGTGTAACGAGGCGATTTTAATAGGGTGCATCATTGGCACCGCGAGAGGCTTACGCTGTTTGGGATCTCCGAACATGCAGACCTTGCCTAGTGTCGGCATGAACTTGTTGAACAGATGCTATCGTAGACCTCGCATTGAGAGCGAGCACACTCGAAAGGCTGGTGCGAAATTATTCACCATGAACTCAAATGTGTCAATCTGGGACGCCTCGTCCACTACGAGTCGCTCCATCGGCACGTGGCGGAAAACTCCAACGTTGTCCATGCCAGGATGTGAAAGCATTGAGACCGTGCACAAGATGACCTTCGATCTGCCCATGAACTCCGCAACACCCGCGGCCTGACCGAAAAGCTTGTCCGATTTGACGAGGTGATCCGATATGTCGACGTAATGGTGCTCGTGCCTGCGCGCGACGGAAGCAGGTTAGAGTCGCCTGGGCAATGTCAGTCAAGAGATGTTGCGCACCATTCGTAGTAGAAATCCTTTGAGACAACGATCTTGAAATCGATCTTGCGCTTGACCAGGCTTTCAGCAATGTTCTTCACGCCAACGTTGGAATGCGCGATGACCCATGCCGGCTCCCTGCGTCGCTCCCAATGCTCGAGCGCTGCAGCGATCGTTGTTGTCTTACCCGTCCCTGGGGGACCTACGCAGGAAGCCGCACATCAGCACGCGGACCCTCAAGCTCGCACACGCGATCACGCACCGTGCACAATGATGAGGTTTTCATCTGCGCTAACCATCGCTTTCACCACCGCCTGCTGGGACGCATTCAATTCCTTGTACGACGGCGTCGTGATCTGCGTTTGTGCGTCCACCGCCCCAATCGCTTTCACCTTCTTGCCCCTCTTAGTTTTGCGCGGTGGAAACCAGAGCATGCGAACGAACGACGACATGTCCATGGCCTCGGTACCCCTTAGGATGCCCAACACGAACTCGTCGCGCGCCAATTCCGCGTTCGTGGCCTCCTCGCGGCCAAAGACGCGCACCTTCGTCACCTTGGCCGGCAGCCTGCCTTTGAGCAGTTGGAGCTGAGTCTGCCGCCCTTTGAGCCCGACCGCGCGGGCCGTCGCCTGCCCTCCGTTGAAGTGGACGATGGTCTGGGTGTTCGTCAGTACGCCTATAGTCACTCACGGACGGAAGGGTTACCTGGCTGCTGTCGCGGATCTTCGTCTTGAAGCGGGCGTTGTGGAGGATGATCTTGTCCTTGCCGTTCTGTCTGACGTGCTCGAAATCGTTGTCCACTTGCGTGGGCTGCTCGGCCTCCAAGAGCTCGACGTTCAGCACGAGCTGCGCTAAGCATGCGAGCTGCAGAGGCGAGGCGTTTCGGGTGTCGACCTTCAACACCTTGTCCATGATGGAGGCACTCTCCTCGGCGATGCTAGGAGGTTTGTAGTTTGTGAGAGGCAAGATGCTCAGGACGGACTCTATACTCACCAGGCCGACAGCCAGGTACGGAGACAGAGATCCTTGTTGGAGTGGTGCCACCACAGGTTGTGGATGCCCTGAGCGCGCACTGTGCCCCAGAGTTTCCGAGCGAGGTGTGCGGCGCATTGCTGCTCCCTTGGTGACTTGTCGTGCATGGTAGACAGATCGACGCTGCGCACGTCAACGCCGAACTGGTGGTGGATGAGGAGCGCTACGCGGGCCATACCGAACGCGACGAAGAGATAGCGAGGATGTTTCAGGACAGATGCGAGCATAGCAAAGGAGATATCCTTGGTGACCGTGATTTGAAAGACCTGATCGGAGTCAGCTAGTGCAACGGCCTCGATGAACCCCTTCTTCGACAGCCTCAAAGATATACCAAGCGGGACGATAGTGACCTCCGGAGACCCACGACCGAGCCTGTTGATCAGAACTTGGCAAGAGTCGGCTGTGAGGCGTTTCACGGGGACGGAGGTAACGAGTGCGGGAACGAGGTCCTGCTCAAGCGTTGGCATACTGGGAGGAGCTGATGGGGGTTGGTGGACTGGGGCCGCCAGGACCGCTGACTATAGCTCGATGTTGGGTTTATGCCACCACGCTGATAAACCGCGTCACTTAGAAGCACGACGGTTCCGCGAGGCAGGTCGCAGTATGTCCACCTACCTACTTGAGCGCATAAAGACTTCGAAATGGCTGGGAGGGGCATGGGCGAATGAAAGCGAAGTGAAAACGAAGATCTTGCGGAAAGGACGTGCCGCAGAAGGCGGACCATCTACTACTTCGAGCAAAAGAGCAGCCTCGTGTTCAAAGAGAACTCACTCCAGGCAGCTGGGGTTGGGTGATTCGCTTACCGCAGCACACACCGGGGGCATTGAACTATAGGACGACGTGTCCCATCGTAGAGGTATCGTGATCTGAGCCACTGGCGCGTTGAGACAACATGCCTCGCCGCGTCCCACCTTGATCCTACGCCAGTCGCCCACTGCACAGTGAATGAAGTTAGCATATGACACGATTTTATCAAACCTTACAAAGGGGGATGCGCAACCAGGTGATTATCCTATAGTGGCTCTGATGACGATGGATATGCGATGGGACACGATGTACCACAGGTCGATGCCCCCGGTGACAGTAATTTGTACGTGCCGTCTGCTTGTCGATAACGGGAGCGAAGAAAGACTCGACATGGAGCCTTTTTTGGGACGGAATGGATCAGGCGGCTGTATGGTCGCCTAGGCTTGGCAAGACAGACGCTGTGCTCGAGTTGGAAGGAAAACGTCATGTAACGCAAACGATGATAGGCGGGGGACAGAACTCAACAGAAGTTCAGGGGATGCAGGACGCAGTCATCATAACGGCTGGAAAGGTTCATTATGACGTACCTCTGGGACGACAAAACAGTCGATGAACCCAAGAAGCCGTATTTGATCGCACTGCCGAAGAATCCAATCTAAGTCAGGAACAATCGAGACAAGAATGAGAGGATATGATTGCTCTTGCACAGATAGATGTTCCACATGCGATGTTTGCCGTTGAGAGACACAGAGAGCGTTGGAAGCGACGGTGATGCAACAGGTAGAGGCCAAGAAAGACGATGCTAAGCGCCGGTTGTGTTGCATACGCCCGGCTGCCTGAGCATTCTATGTCCATATAAGGGCATATCTGCACCTTATGCGATGTGGTCGGGTAAAGAAAGTCAATTTGCACCGAGCGCGGACTCGAGAATGGCGTCCTCTTCCTCTTCCCACCTCCCCCAGTCCGTCTTCAACCCCCGACGTCATGTTGGCGTGCACGCTGAGCGTGTCTCTGATGTTTCAAGTACTGAGTTCCCCGGACACTACCCTGGAGAGGACCACAGCTGGAACCTCGCAAAATTCAAGCAGGTGCGCGTCTGCGGGAAGTTCTGTACGAGGTCGTGTCTGACGCAGGTTCCGTTGTAGAACTTGAAAGTATCGGTGAAGAGGTTATCACAACGTTCCGTCGAGTTTGACTTGGTCGGAGTGGACGCCGCGATTGCGAACGCGTTCCGTCGGATCCTGATCGCTGAGGTGAGTCTTCACGCGCTTCTTGAGTCGAGAGGGGCAGGGTCGGGAGGAAGGGTAGTCAGAGGCATGGAAGTTGTATAAGAAGCATCAAGAGGCACTCTGCGCGTGTCGGCCTTGCACCGCCCTGCCTTGGCATGGCGGCACATCCTCTTGCGCTGCATCCTACCTACTCGGGGTCAGGTCCATGGTCGGCGAGCCTGAAAAGTAGGCGTGCTAACTCCGCAAAGAGGTCGCAGGGCTGAGCGCGTACAGCGCATGTAGTGCTCACGTAGACGGTGCATTCGCTGTGTATTGGAAGCTGCATAGCCATATGATGATGAGGTGGCGTCCCTTTCCGTGTCGTGCTTGCGGAGCGGGTGTCGCGTCTCTCAAGGGCAGCTGATCTTGGCTTCCTAGGGCTTGTCTCGCAGTCCTGGTACCCGTATCTACTCAGCCCTGTATTTCATCAGCACCTCGCTGAATGCTGTGCGTGAGTATCTGCTTGCAGGCATGGTGTAATCGAGGTCTAGCCCTTGTCGATCCGTACCCCCACATTAACCTGTGTCCTCCGTCCGAGACTGTGGCTGAACACTCTCCAGGTACCAACAATTGCCATAGAAGATGTCTTCGTATTCAACAACACTTCCGTAATCCACGACGAAATCCTTGCACAACGCATAGGCCTCATTCCTTTAAACGTCGACCCCCGACTGTTCGATTTTCGGCCCCCGGGAGGTATACCCATGGACCGGAACACTCTTGTATTCAAGTACGTGCCTTATCCTTCCTTCCCCCTCCCATTCTGATGATATCCTACGCATACACAGGCTCAACGTAACGTGTGAGCGCGCAAAAAAGGGGTCCTCGTCCCCGTACATCAACGAATATGTCAAGAGCGGCGACCTCGTCTGGGAGCCGCAAGGCGAGCAAGCGACCGTGTTCGCCTCCCGGCCGCCTGCAGCGACGAATCCGGACATTGTGCTCGCGAAGCTTCGTCCGGGCCAGGTGATCGAGATGGAGCTGCATGCGATAAAAGGTGTCGGGAAGGAGCACGCGAAATGGAGTCCGGTTGGTGCGTATGGTCTTTTGTCACCTGTCTCAGGTAAAACGCAGGCTCACTTGAGTGCGCACAATCTCGCGCGTGGATATGCATGTAGCGACGGCAACATACCGCCTGCACCCGCTCGTCCTCCTCAACCCGTCAAAACCGGTCCCGCCAGAGCATGCGCAAAAGTTCGCGAAATGCTTCAGCCCGGGCGTCGTCGAGGTTAGCGCGGCTGGCGAGGTGGCGATCAACGAGCGCTACTTACGGACGGAGACGATGTCGCGGGAGGCGCTCCGGCATAAAGAGTTCGAGGGATGTGTGGAGCTGAAGAGGATCAGGGATTGGTTTATCTGTGCGTCTGCCCCTTGGTTTTTTTGTCACTAGGAGTGTGATACTGACGTTGATTGATGGGGGCAACAGTCCAGGTAGAGAGCGAGGGCCCGTACACGCCAGAGTTGCTGCTCCCAGAGGCGATCAAGGTCATGCGCGGGAAGATCTTGTCCATACGCGCCGCGGCGGAGGCGCTCCTCGAGGACTCGCAGGACTTGGGTAGCGGTGGCGGAAGCGGGCGCCCAGACGCGGATGGGGACGTCAACATGGGTGGGCAGTAGAGGACATGGTGCGCAACGTCGCTTCCGAGTACGGTGCTAGGGTACGGACTGACGGCGGCGGCAGTGTTACTGTTTATGTAGGTCGAATGCTATATAAGCGTTTTCTTCACATTGTGCTGTGCTCTGCGGAGCGGCTTCGGAGCGTGAGTGCCCATGGACCCTCCGCCAAGCGTCGAACCGGAGCCGGCGGCGGCGGGATAACATGTAGCTTGGGCCTGTCATCACGATCTCGTCACCATAATCAGATTCAAACCTCGAGGCATCGAGGCCAGACACCATGACAACATTCCATCCCACCACTGACACTCCCGGCGAGCCACGCAGAAGGACGGTGAGGCTGGCCACGTTCCGCGTTCCATTGTTCGTATCGTGATCCCGGAACGCTGATGCCGATTGATGAGACGCTCATGGTGAGTCTGTACACAAATGGCGCAGTACCCTGAAATCACAGCCGAGGCACGTAGCACGCCCGATCTCTGAGTCATGAGCATGGATGTCGTGTTCAGTCTGAACGAATGGCAGTTGGCGAGCGGCACCAAGCTTTTACCCTCGCCCACATCATAGCTCCTTGAAGGTTCCGAGGACGGAGGACGTAACTCGATGCTTATTCCGTTAAGGTCTTAATCGAGCATACCTTGTGCTGCAGGATGCATTTGATGAACTTCACTAGCGGGCTTAGGCTCCCGACAAGGATGGGCTCCGATGTCTTCAGGCCAGGTCCACTGTGCGGCCGGCTGACGCTCGGGCCCCACGACTTGAAGGAATGGTGACGGTAATCATGGTCGCGCCTACTCCAAGTTTATGGTCATTGCTAGACGACTACCATGATAGTTGTATACTAGAGCGTAGCTATCGTCCGTCCCGCGCAAACGTAAAGCATTACAGGAAACGTCTCAGTCGTCTTCTCATGCCCATTCTTATCCAAGCTCTGACGGAATGTCCCTCCCCGTGTGCGCAACACCCTCCGACCATCCTAATGTCGTCACTAAGATCCGGAACATGGAATGGTGAAAAATTGCGGTGCTCGCGGTCCAATGAGGAGTGAAGTGCAGACGCGTTGGCCGGCTCCTCAAGAGATGATTCAAGAGCAATACCGAGGCCTTGCTTATACAATTCAGGTCGTTTCCAACCTGACTAACATCAACAGTGAACGAGTCTATTATTCTCAGCATTATCTGCTTAATACACATGGTTACATCCCTATTCCGTAAAAGAGGAACTACATCTCGGATTATGAGGACCCATTTCTACACAGCGGCTTGGCTTGGTATATATAGGGTGTCTTGAGAGCCAATGGCTCAACATCTGGTTGACGAAATGCCTAGGGAAGGATCCGCAAGTCAGAGACAGCGCGATTGAGTTCAGACGGTGATACGATACTGACATTTATATCACAACCCGTCAGGCAGATCGCGAGGTGCAATGTCTAAGGCTGGGTCACTGTTGGAACCCACGTTGGGATCGTAGCTTGCACTCTCCAACCGGCTATTGATTTCGGCCAACAGAATTTTTTTGAAGGTATTTTCAACGTGTTTAGGTGTGTTCTGGGGGATAGAACAGGGGAGAAAGAACCATCCGTGACACCCATCCATGACAATTTCGCGTTTCTCGGGATTTTCAGATTGGGATTCGTTCACGGATTTGATATATAAAAAGCATAGAGCGCAGGAGAGCTTAGGACAGCCAATGTAGTAGCGACCAGGCGGACAATTGTGCAGAATGTGAAGCGCCAGAAGGCATTCACAGTGAACGTGCGATGGCTTCGGTTCGGAAGGGATGGGTGGGATCCTAAATTTTTTCCACTCTTGTAACGAGACTGAAAAGTCTCCTCCATTGAGCTTTCGATTCAAGTTGTGCAACTGTGTGCCGGTGATCCTACCGGGGTGGTAGGTAGGGGAAGTAGGCGGTGGATCCACAAAGCCGACTGGTAGGTCACGACTGATGAGGACGCCGCGTAGATCTGAGCATGCTGCAAGAACTACGAGATTGTTGATATGTATGGATGCACTGGAGGCCTTTGTAAGGATCTCCTCGGTGCTCCGACCCTTTATATCTGGAAGAGGATGTCAGTATGAAAAGACAACACGAGGTGACGATGCACCCACCCTTTATTTTCTTGTTCATAGATTCCACGAGGACCGGATGAGCCTCGACTAGACCAGAAATGAATCGTCCGCACTCATGAAGCTCCATGAGTCTGCCGGCATCATGGTCATGCTCATTCACTATAGTGAGCACCTTCGATAGGTAGTTCTGAAGGGCACAGACTATGCTATGCTGTCCAGAGTCGACTTGGCCTCGCACTTTGCTTGCATAGCGTGCAAGTTTACCTTGGAGCAATTGACAGCGCTTGTTAATCCGGGCTCTGAATTTAGGCATGTGTTGGCGGTAGACGAATAAGACAAGCTCTGTCTCTGCAGTAGAGACCGGCTCCAAAATACTTCTTTGTTTTGCCAGCGATAAATCTAGTTCTCCAGGTGCGGAATGTGCGGCAAACGCGATGCTTTGGAGCTTTGGAATGCAGTCCTTGATGAACTTTCCATAGGGACTGAGTCCGTTGCCGAGGGCCTGGTTGCCGCTACATTTTAGCTCCGGTGTCACGGACGTTGGACAGACGCCCCCTTTTGCCGCCCATTCCCTTCCCTTTGACGCTCACTTTCCATGTTCGGACTATTTCCTTTTCGAGCCTATCCTAGTTTGGACACTTTAGATACGTTCCCACAGCCGCATGCTACGTTCCCGTGATCGCCATGCCCTTGCCTTTTCTTTCTCGCCCTTTGTTCTCTCTTTGTCATCTTCACTGCCTCGCTCTCGCGCCTTGTCCTTGGTTGCTAAGCAGCCCCTCTGGTATATAAGGACCCCCTTAGGCGCTCCCTAGTCCCCATCTCGACCTCTTGGTCATTGGGACTAGGTGAGTGACTATAGCGTTGTATCTCTCTCTGATTGCTAATGTATAACTTGGTCATTGGGACTAGTCTGTCGCTGCCTGCGTGAAGACTAGCTTTCGTAGGTCTCGTGCCTTCGTGCCGACCTCCGCTCTGCCCTCGTCGAGTTTTCTGTCACGTTTATCCCTCTCCCTCTCTCTTTCCCCTTTCGGCTCCTTGCCGCTCGCCTACGGGGTCGTCGCCGAACGTCGACCCGAGTCTACGCGCCTAGTCGCCGCGACATCCGGGTTCCAGAACGCATTCTCGGGTTGGATTATATGCAGCAGAGAAGCAGCAATGACGTTAGAATCGGGATTACGCTGACCGTGTATGGGCTCATGAAGGACACAAACCCCCGCCAAGGACTTGGCGAAATCAATAGCGATGTCCCATTGCGTGTAGTCCTTTGGGTCTCGAGTCGATCTTGGCATTGCCATGACTGGGTCCACGAATTTCTCCATCGGTCCCATGCATGCAAGTACATGTACCAATGTGTCGACATTGATGTTGCTGTCAGAGTTTGCGTGAGCCATGATACGTCCCTGGAGTGCTGATTGGTGAGTAGCTCTCTCCGCCTGCATTGCATTTAAGCATGCGTACTATGTTAAGATGGTGATCTTTCTCACTTCTTTGATGCGTATGAGGGGTGTGTGTATAGGTAGTGCTGGTGTAAAGAATGAGGCGTCCGAGGAGTATATATAGGACATGCTCTATAGCCATGCAAGGAACACGGAATGATTGTGGAATTATTGCTTGAGACAACAACACTAACTACAGAAGTATCGTGAGGAGGAACTATAGAATGATTTTGCGACCATAATGATGGTTGTTATGACATAGAACAATGGGTATAAGGGTCTATCAATACTTCAGAACGAAGGAATTGCGAATACTGAATAGTAACGGAGTGTGCTCTGAGTTGTCAGCAGTCCGAGATAGAATCATGATCCGAGGGGAATGAACAATTGAAAGTCTACTTCGCCGATGTGGCTATATTCGATGTTTCAATCATCTCATGCTAACAGAATGTAGAAGGCTGTAACATGGTGTTACGATTGCGGGCCGTATCAGTCAGGGGCAGAGACATGTGTGGGTGCTTGCAGCTATCACCTCATCGGCAAATGGAAGAGTGCAATGTCACCATGTGTACATTCGAGTTGATTGTTCACCTTTCGATGTGTGTATAGAGCATCACTCTGAGCGCAGAATGTATAGAGGTGGCGGCTTGCGTCACTACATTCTTCTAAGAAACAGAGCATCATTATCATCCAAACGACGTGAATCCCATTGGTGAGCAAATGACTCGGAGAGTCGCGTCAGGCATGATATGTGCAGGGTGCTGAGATTCTCCCTGAGTAGTAGATGGAGATATGGAGGTAGAGACTCGACTGAATTGTGTTCTCCCATAGCGACAAGCCCAGGAAGCCCTTAAACACACAGCATCTATCATATGTTGTATGACGTGATCCGGTTATAACGCCGCTGGAAAAGCAGCTTACTCAGCGCTAGCACTGGACCGTGGGCTTTGTGGCGATACCTCATCCTGGCTCGCCGTCTTCTGGAAAACTACATATATATTCTCATCCCAACGTTGCCCTCACAGTGCACTCAACTTCGACATCGGTGTGTAGTCTCTTGAACATCGTGAGTCCCGGTCTATCCTGGACATTACGTCAACTCCTCATCTACTGAATCACTATGTACTACACAGATCACACGATTCCACTTCCCACCGACCCTTCCATGTCTCTCCAAGATATCCACAATCCCCTTGCTACCGCTGTTCTGGGGATAAGCCACGTCTGGCCAGCAGGTCCCAAAGAGGCCTCGCAGGTGGTCCAGTCGGATATGATCCGAGGGACGTATAACTACGTAGATGCCTTCTCGGTGCTGTGCGCTCTCTCTCCTGGTTGCGCTACTGCAGCAGCTGTCATTGAGCACCGCGAGAGAGACTCGAGGCTTCACATTTGCACACGGCCTTCAGCTCCACCTCAATTGAGGTCTATGATGCTGGAATGCTTGAGCCATGTCAAAGAGCTTCGTTTCAAAGCCCTGTCACCTCCGGCAGCCGACTCCACGGTGGGACAGCGCTCGGACACAGCTGAAGCTCACGATCTTCTCACCACAATATACGGTACCTGCTGGGAGAAGTATCTGGATCACATCAAGGAAGAAGGGCTGGAACTATTAGAGGACATGGGATCTGATCCGGGAACTGAGAACATCGAATTGCTCATCACGAGCCTCAAGATCGTTTTACGCACCGATAGGACCCCGGACACCGGGGAAACCGATGAGGACCTCCTGGAATTGCACAATGCAGCTAAGGTCCTTGCGTCAAATGCGGAGGTACTGACGAAATATGGTTGCTCTACCCAGCGTGAGTCGCAATCCACAATTCTTTCAGAGCCCGTTCACTAATTGTCAGTTCAGTCGCTTCGCGTCTACAGTCATTGCCAGATGCTGCCGAGGAGCTCCTTAAGTTCTCCTCCTCCCAAGAGAAACTGCCCTCAGACGTTGTCTGGGTGGTACCCTGCGATCCTCAGCCTGAGTCTGTTTCCGCGGACATCAAAACCATCACGCGACTCCTCCAATCATCCAATCTTCCCGACATTCCCGACAACTTTCCCGACATTGCAAACGCTGCTCGCTTGCCCCTGCAGCAATCGCAAACCACCCCTCACAACTCTCCACTTACGTTCACCACACACTGTGCCAGCTTCCTCCTCCAATACGTGTCGCAGAATGGGTTGGTGATCGACCCCTATATCGGTTGTCCCTGGGGTACCTGCTACTGCTGCATCATGCTCATAGACGTGTACAACAAGTCACAGCCGCAGAATATGAGGCCGTACGCTATCAGTCGCTTCAGCTGCGACTTCGATTCCGCTTGGGGCTATCCGTCTTTGGGATCGGAAATAAATGAGAATTTAAAGGGCAAGTTCCTCAAAACTTTGACGAAGTTATCTAAATACAGAGCCGCGCAAAGGAACAAGAACAAGCCCATAGGTAAGTCGTGAACTACATTCTAGTGCTCACATATAGTTAAAAGGCGCATAGGGGGGATATTTGCGGACAAAGTCTCCGCCGAGACTGCGGTGATAAGCATCGTAGAAGCCTACTAGATTACTGATGGGCAGGGTTTACATCTTAGATGTTCCTGAATGCGAACTCTGTAACGCGTGTAATTCATACAAAGTGATAGGGGTTTCATAAGATGAGATGATCGGTACGATGTCGTAGAAGAATCATGGACAAGTATATGTTTCTCTCATTATACCGCCACCATATAAAGCATTGTGCAATACAGTGATGACTCGGACATACACTCCGCTGAAGTGGTCCAAAGGCGTGAGGATTGTTGGGACGAGTGTTGGTAGATGGGTAAGGCTTGTAGGCAAGGGGTTCCACCCGGTAGCTCGAAAACGGTATTTTTTGAGTTGAGAGCAAGTATAGGAGTCTATATGTGAGATTTTAGGGTGGAAGGACAAGAGTCACGATGTGGAGAACATGAAAACTATGGTGTCTGTAATAAGCGCTGGGTCGAGAGGTACAGTCGTTGAGTCCTAACTGCAAAGCTCAGAGGTTGTACGAAGAGGAAAGGTAGAGAGACGGTTTTCAATCTATCATACCTTGGAAACCGAAGTACCAGGGTGAGATACGTCAGTGCTAGGTACATTTGTTAGCTTGCAAGGCATCCAAACGGAGAAATGGCAGCACGGCGGCGGACGATAAGTGGCGTGCAGAGCAATTTAATCTGCGGCTGGATTAAAAACGCAGGAACACAATCGCGGGATGCATAGGCGGCTCCGAACATTTGCACGCTGAACCAACCGAGACAAAGCTATCTAGATGCTCATAAGCACTATCGCACGAACCGGAGGGACGCCAAGAGCGGCGGTGCGAGAGAGTTGAACATTGAACGTTGAATACTGTATCCCCAGCCGTAAAGGGGGTATTCTAATGCTGGTCTAAAGCAGTATAATCGGGTTCAGAGCGCGACCAGCGATCAAGGACAGACTGGGAAAGGCAAGCCGATAGCCTAACAAGCACAAACAAGTGGCCCAAGGCGATGCGTAAGCGCCTGAAGGGAACCCAGTCGGAATTCCCGTTGTCCATACAGCTACTCTGCTTGTCATAGCCTCATTCGAGCCCGATGCTGAGAGCATATACTGGCGTGTGCTGCTACCCGAATATTAATCTGGTGATCAGTCATCCCCAGTACCCTTCGCGTACCCAGGCTCTCAAGCTAAGGTTCGTCCTGCCCATCACGCTACGCAATGCGCCAGGCTTTTGGCAGTTCTTGTTGGTACTGATGTGGATACATATATTCCGAAGACATCGGATGGCCCGTTGCCGGACAGTGCTCCCGTGAGGGCGGAGAGCACCGTGCATGGAAGAGAACTGCTGGTGGCGGCACAACGATTGTGCGTCCATTCATAGTTGTGTCAAAACCAACTTCCGCGACAGCTAAATGTCGTGCATGTCTAGTCATTGGCCGTAGGGTTGCGGAAGGTCGGCGAATACTGTGCGGTGCGTTCTCTTCTGCTCTTCTAACTCCCCTGTCGCACCGCTCCTGTTTATTTACGAACACGCCGGCTCCGTGCTTGTGTCCCGCCTTGCACAGATCTGCTCCCTCTCACGTTCAACGTAGGACATGATACTCGGGGCCCGAAGCGCCTCGCGCAGCGCATATATGCACCTCCGTCTTCACGCGTGACCCGTGCGCCCCCAACACAGTCGGCATGAAGTTTGCTGCTATCTCCACGGCCTCCATTGTCGTCGCCGCCTTCGCCGGCGTGCGCGCTCAGCTCCCTCCTGGAGTCACGCCCTGTATCACCAGCTGCCTCACGCAGGCCGCAGCCACAGACCTCGATGGGTGTTCCGTGTATGTCCCCTCCGAGATCAGCAGGCTGTGCAAGTGACTGACGATAGCCTTGCTGCGGGTTGATTCAGAACGGACAAACAGTGCCTGTGCGCAAACACGAAGATCCAGCAAGACGTCCTCAGCTGCATCCAGCAGAACTGTTCGCAGATGGAGCTCGAGGCCACGCAGGTGTTCATCGCGGCGGAGTGTGCGACTTCTAGTGCTCCTCCGGCCGCCCCGACAACGACGTCCACGCATGTGGTGTCACAGACGACGACGCACAGCGTGGTGGTGTCACAGACGACGACGCATAGCATGGTGGTGTCGACTACGTCGATCCACGTCTCGAGCTCCGTTGTAATCGAGACGTCGACCAAAACTCTAAGCAGCACGGCGATTACCAGCAGCGCAGCCTCTAGGTCAGTCGCTTGGCACTTTGTGCGTGGCAGTAGCGTGGAGCTGATAAGACGGTGCGATAGCCTGATATCGTCGTCCGCCATTACTCCTTCGTCCAGCAGCTCTATCGCGTCTGTCTCTGAAGACACGAGCCTGAGCGCCACTTCGACAGCGCCCGATCCTACGTCTTCCGACTCTGTCGAGACGATGACTTCCATTGCTACTCCGAGCGGGACGAACGCCGCGTCGCGCGCAGGACTGGGAGCAGTTGGCATGTTCGCTCTAGGCGCCGTTCTGGGGGGCGCTGCGGTCTGGTGATCTGACTGTCCGTCGAGACTCTGGCTGGACTCAATTTGTGTATTTCGGGAACGCTGCATGCACGCATGTTTGGCAGCGGCGCTCTGGAACGGGTACAGCCTGCTCAATTCTGGACTTCGGACTCTCTAACCCGTACTGTATCTCCGCCTGCAGCCGCGAACGGATGGCCGGATATGGAAGGCTTCTAACTCATATATCACGGCGTCGTCCTATTGGTTGTGGTCGGCGAGGAAGTAGCGGGAGATGGAAGAAGGCAATTGTCGCCGATCTGGGACCGGAGCGAGGTTGCTATTTTTCCACGCGTGCAAGATTGAGCAGAATGTATCAGACGTCGACGCCAACAGCCTCGACATCGCGGATGGAAGCGTCCTTGCATGCGCAAATGAATGCGCGAATGCACAACTCCGGTCGCCGCCTGTCGAACGGTTGCACCTCGAGTCCTGGACAGATTCCATAGCTGTGCGGGCGTGGCAATAGGCTTTCCTCTCATTCGTTCTCTGGCCGCGTTCCATCCATCCGTCAATCCTGCGGCGTCCGTTGTGTCTGACCTTCCACGGAGGCACACGAACGCAACTGAATGATGCACGGTCGTCGCGGCGCATATAGCTCGAGGTCCGCCAGCTCACATTCCTCCCCGCTTCGCGCTCCCCCGTTCCTTCGACGTCGCTAGCCTGTATTGCGCTATGAAGTTCACTGTCCTTTCTTTCGCACTCGCAACAGCTATCATAAGCGGTGTCTCTGCACAAGACGGCCTGTCGGCGTGTGCCCTCGGCTGCTTCGCGTCGTCTACGACTGGGACTGGATGCACTGTGTCCGTCGTCGTGTCTGGGCTCTCACCCTGTCGCTTACCTAGCTTGCGTTTTCTGCAGGACGGACATCAGCTGCCTCTGTAAGAGTACCCAGTTCCAACAGGCCGTGAAAACGTGTCTTGAGAAACAGTGCACCTCCGCCGACCTCGCCGCTGCGGAAGCGCTCGAGCAGTCGGAGTGCGGTGCTTGTGAGTCTAGCCCCGCCCGTTGCCCATCACCGATCTCAATGCTAACGCCTACCATCTCAATACCCAGCGACCACGACGAGCAGCAGTTCTAGCCCTCCGCCTGAGAAGACTTCGTCGTCCTCCCAAAAGGCCACGACGACGACGCCCTCACACTCGTCGAGTGCGCTGCCACCTCCTTCTTCGCACTCGTCTTCCTCACACCCGTCCTCCTCACACTCGCCTTCTGCTTCATCCTCCGATTCAGCGACTCACTCCACCAGTCACTCTGACCCGGAGACGAAGAGCAAGAGCGAGAGTGCCTCTGGCACTCCGTCGAAGCCATCCTCGTGAGTCTATCGCATCCCGCGCTGCCTTCGACGACGACGGATTTTTCTAACTCCAGACACCACACAGACCTTCTTCGACTTCCGCCGCCCCGGCCTCCGTAACCAACTCCACGGCTCTCGCAGTGTCCTCTTCGGCGGCTGTCAACTCCACCCTGGCCTCGAGCTCGTCCTCCAGTGCGACGCTCACGGTTCTCCCTTCCAGCACTGACCCGGCCTCCACCGCTCTCGTGACGTCCACGTCCGTCGCGTCCTCCAGTACTGTGAACCCGACCAACGGCGCTGTGCCAGGCGGTGCCAGGGGTCTCACTGGGGGCGTCGCTGTCTTCGCTGGGCTTCTTGGTGCTGCGTTCGCTTTGTAAAATCTACGATGTGGACTGTCATCCTGCGGACTGATTTCAGCTGTATGGCCTAAGGACTTATATTCCTGCGTACAATATGTCGCTGTTTGCGCGATGGGAACGAGGAGTGCCGTGTACTCAAAAAGCGTTGGATAGAATTGGAGGCCGATCCGATCCTGAGTAAAGTCGTCCGTGCTGGTCCAGGATTAGTCTGATGCACCGCTCCGAGAATAGCGGACGGACGCCAGATCGACCCAGCGAGCCTGCCGTCGCCCGTCGCGCTGATCACGATGGTAAGTGATGAGTCTGTAACAGGTACTTTAAAAGTGGTCAATTATACTGAGCAGAAATGAAACGCAGGACAATCTAGTAAGGAAGTGACCGCCTCACCGTCTCGCACGTGCTCGCGGTAATCAGACGCCCGATTGGCTGGCAGCGATTCGCGCACTGTACTGCCCCACACCGTGACCCGGCCAACCACAGCCGACATCTTTATGCGGCATGAGCTTGTGTTGCATCCGACTTTTGACGGTACTCGAATGCTGACGTACGTTACTGAGGCCAGTTTGACCCGTGCATTGGTCATCGTGGGGTGAGTCCTCCATGCTCTAGACGAGTATCCTGACCTGGAGGCGATATGTGTAGCTTATGTTCTTGCATAACACCGAATCACAAAGTCGTCAGGGGTGGGATCATCCAGGCTCACGGTTCTCACGGATCCGTGTCCAAACGTCCGCATATATGAATGAGGTCACAAACGCTTCGGTGTGCATCCGCAGAGGTACAGAGGTATTCAGGGACTCGTAGTTCTAAACATGCCTCAAGAAACTCTGTATATATAGTCGTATGCGGCCATGCGCCTCCGCCGGCCTTCCCCCTCTTCCGCCTTCATTGTCCCAAAAACACTGGATAACGGACGAAGGCATGCCAAAGAGGCCAGAAAAAACCGGGAAGAAAGAACGGGTTGAGGAGGTTGTCGTCGAGGTGCTTGTTGAGAATGTATGCGAACGATCGGCCAGCCTCAAGGAGGAAGAGAGACGGCTTGTGCGCAAGCTTGATTGGCGGATCATGCCCATGTTAGGGCTCATGTATCTCTTCGCCGGTACGTTGCATATATATGCCTTTTTCCGGCTGCTAGCTCAACTTTGCATGTCCCCTTTGTAATCCTTGTAGCTCTTGATAGGACGAACTTAGGGAACGCACGTCTGCAAGGCCTTCCGCAAGACATCCTGCATGGAGATCCGACAGGCGTCCTATTTGACTGGGCAAATTCCGCGTTCTACTTCTCATATGTGCGTACACTTCCGCTCAACTCTACGTAGTTGTCCTGCATAAGCCATATGTGCAGGTAACTTGCCAGGTGCCAGCCCTCATCACGTCGAAGTTATACCCTCCACGCATTTGGCTGGGATGCACAGTGATCGGGTGGGGTTTGGTGTCTACTCTGATGGTACGTTTCCCTGATTGGATAACGTGCCGCTCTGTTGCACTAATATCTATGCAGGCCACAACGTCCAACTTCCCTAGTCTCATGGTGGCTCGCCTGGCCTTGGGAGCATTTGAAGCGGGTTTCAGCCCCGGTTTTCCGCTCTACCTGTGTACGTGCACTAGTGGACTCAAATGACCTTGCTCTCATGCATCGGCGCTGCTATAGCACTGTTCTACACCAGAGAGGAGTTTGGCCTCCGTACAGCGGGGTGGTACATGTTCGCGGCGGTCGCAGGGGCATTTGGCGGCTTGGTCGCGTTCGGTATCCAGCATGTCCACGCCGCGGTAGCCAATTGGCGGCTATTGTTCATAGTCGAAGGGATCCCGTCGATATTGCTCGGCATACTAGCTCTAGTGATCTTGCCTGATAGGCCCGAGGAAACCCCGGTCCTGACGGAGCGAGAACGCGAGATTGCTGTGGAGCGGATGAATCGAGGTGGGAGCGCCGATGTTGGCAGGAGAATTCAGAAAAGTATGTTGTCACATTACGATTGAGAATTCTTTCTGATTAAACCTGTGTTAGAACACATACCGATCGCATTCCGTGACTGGAAGGTCTGTTGCAATGTCTGTGAAGTCTGACTCGCCACTCAAACCGCGAGTGATTACATTGGCAGATCTACGCGGCAGGAGTGATGTTTTTCGCGGGGAATTGCGCTCTATCCGGGATTCAGGGATTCTTGCCCACGATAATCGCTAGCTTCGGATTCAGTGAGCAGCGTTCCCCCAAAAGTGCTATATACGTGGGCTAACTTGTCTATCTAGCCAACGCTATCGCACAGATACTCACGGTCCCCCCATATGCCGTCGCCGCCTTGATTCTCTGCGTTACAACGTACGCCTCGGATCGCATGCAACGGCGTGGCGTGTTCCTTTTCGGCGTGAACACACTTGCAGGCGTTGGATACATGTTTGTGGTCTCTGGTACTATGTCGCCTCTCAGCTAACTGACTGACGATCTGGTGTATAGACTACTGCTGACGGTTCCTTTCAATATACACGTGCGATATCTTGCGACATTTTGTACCACAGCTGGGACGATTTCCACCATAGCGGTCATCTTAACATGGTGTACGTCTCTGTCTAACGATCTACGCGGAGGGAAGTGGAGATTGACACGGATTGTGCAGTCTCTCATAACCTCGGCTCGGAGACGAAGAGAGCAGCGGGCATGCCTCTATACATGTCCATCGGTCACTGCGGGAGCATCCTCGGCTCTCACTTGTTCCCAACCACCGATGCACCGCGATATTTGTTAGTCCGCTGATATGCGCACATGCCAAGAGCTAAGGCGGCATAACTTCACAGGAAGGGGTTTGCCGTTACTTGCGGCTTGATATTCCTCTGCGCAACCATCGCCCTTGCAGTTTCTGTGAGTATCACGATGTTCCCTTCCGACGTACACTGAGTATCATGCAGGGGTATTACACATGGGAAAACAGGCGTCGGGACCACATGTATGGAAAACCCAACCATGCGACCCCAGTGGATGTCTCGGAATTGGCAGATGAGGTACGCACCGCGGAAGCTTAGCTTTCTATCTCCCGATGCGCACTGACACAATCCCCTTGCTTTGGAAGGCACCCAACTTCCGTTATACGCCCTAGCCTATCGTCAGCCCAAAATGCAACACACAACCTTTGTTGGAGCCTGCGACGATGTCTGTATTCTACGAAGTGCTTTGCTCTGATTACACGGAAAGACACAATCATGAACTCTCAGAAGTCTCCCGTTGTGGATTGCACGGCCGAACTCGTCTCAAAAATTCAGGAATCTCTTTCCACCCCCAGTAGCCATCGTTCATCGGTCTCCCTTGTAGGGATACGTGCAGAAGTACAGCTCACAAGCCTCAGTGTGAATTCACGGCTTACGCTTCAAGACTGTCTGTGCGTCCACCACGCCGGGACTGGGTGGAAGTTGTAAATTACGCGAGAAGTAGCCATACCGGACGGTGGAGTAGTACGGGCCGGAATGTCCCTCAACGCCTGTGGGGTCTGCGACTCTAGCTACACCAAGTGCTCTGGCTGTCCGTAGGAATTTCGGGCAACAGCGTGCGTCGCACGCGGTTATGGCCGACCTGGGTCCGGTACGTTTGAAGGGCGAAAGTGAGAACCGGCGTCTTTGATATAGCCTTGCTGACAATATGTTTTGGACAATGATTATTGTCCAGGGTCTATGACAGCGTAACTCGTGCCACCCCTCGCCGCTTTACATCTGCTTTGTCTCTAGTAGTATATAGGTTAAGGGCTCGCAGCCCAGGATCCTCGTCCCCTCGCCCTTCGGGAGCTCGCGCTCCTCGAGCTTTCGTTTTTGCCCGCTGGTTGGTGCACACCACGTCGTTCACGGTGTTGCCCAATGGGGACCACCAGCTCCTTTCTTCGGCGATCCGCTCGCCACC